GGGTGCCAGACAGCTGGGTCCCAAGGAACTGAGCCTTGTTCTGGCTGGAGAACAGGCTGGGCCCCTCTGCTCGGGATGGCAGCAGGTGACTCTGCCACATACCTGTCGGGGGGGATGCCTTCCTCGGTGATGACGGTGACAGGGCGCTGGAGGCTGGCCTGGTAAGGCTGGTAAGGTGCCGAGGGCCCCAGGTCCTTGGCCAGCTGGCTCTGGGCGACGGCAGCGACGTAGCGTGAGATGCTGAAGGGCTCGTTGGGCTCCTTGGTGAACTCGAACACCAGCACGGCGGGGAAGTGCCCGTTGCAGGAGGTGAGGCACCGCACCTGGATGGGGTACCTGCCACCTGCGGGGCCGACAGGGGAGCGTTGGGTCCTGCAGCCCCTCCAGCGGGGCAGGGGATGGGGCAGGAAGGGGCCCTACCCGGGTGGAGCACCAGGGACTGCCCCTGTGTCACCCCTTGCTCGTCGCTGAAGGAGAGCGCCGGTGACTGGTAGCGTGGCTGGACCCGCCGCAGCGTCACCTCGTGTGTCCCGCGGTTCTGCACCTCCACAGGGACCGTGCGGGGCCTGCCCCGCTCCACCGGGAAGCGGATCTCCCCGTTGCCCTGGTCGTACTCCGAGACGATCTCCACGCCGTGCTTCCCTCTGATGAGCTCGGCGCTGCGGGGAGGGAGGGTCAGGCTTTGCCAGCCGGGGAGGGGGTTTGGGGGCTCTCCAGGGCAGGGTCATACCGCTGCTGGGCATAGCTCCGGGGAGTTTGTGGAGTGGAGCTGGGCTGCTGCTGCTGCCCTGAGGCAGAGGTGGGCTGTGATGTCTGTGCATCCGCTCTGGGTCTCCGGTACTGGTCTGCCACCACCACGCGCCTCTTCACCTGCGAGGAGCAGCCACCGTCAGCCCCGGGGTCCTGCCGGGGGTCCCGTGGAACCAGTCCCCGTGGGCATTGCCCCAGCCAGGGGCCTCTCTCACCGTCTTGAGTTGCACCACCTGCCCCCGCACCAGCGCCCGATGGGTCACCCTCAGGGCATTCAAAGTGCAGGAGAAGTTGGGAGTCCTTGTGTCAGTCCTGCAGAGACAAGGGAGAGGTTTGTGAGGGACAGAGCGTGGTGGGGCACAGGCAGGGGCACGGGCAGCTGAGGGGAGGCAAGAGGGAAGGTGAAGCAGAGCAATGAGGCTGCAGTGAGGGAGCTCTCAGTGGTCTCCTCTGTGCCAGGAGAGGGAGAAGGACTTGGGCTTCCCACTGGCCCGTGCAAATCTTAGACCCCTGCAGGCTGCCCCAGCAACTCCATGCTGTGCCATGGCCATGCCAGCTGTGCCACGGCATCACTGCCTGGCCCTGCCAGCCATGCACGCCCTGTCCCTGCCCCTACCAGTGCTCAAGCAGCAGCAGGGCAGGGACTTCTCCCTGTCCCCAGATCCTTGACAGAAGATGCCACCCAGAGGGGTCAGCCCCCTGCACAGCCCCTGGCACAGATGGGGGCTCCTCTCAGGCACAGCCACTGCACTCCCAGCAGTGATGACTCCCCAGGTACCTCCTCCTGCAGCCCACCAGTGCCCTGAGCCCCGGCTTTGCCAATGATTAACAGCGGTGATGTTGCACAAGGGCCAGTGTGAGTGGGGTCAGCAGGGTCAGGTGGCCACTGTGGAGGGCAGTGGGTATCCAAGGCCTTGCCCAGGCAGCTGCTGGGGGTCCCACAGAGCTGGGATCATCCCAGCAGGGCTGTGGCAACACGGAGGGGCTTGGGGGACCAGTGGTGCTGCTGAGGACCAGTAACACTGTCCAGGCACTGGGCAACGCTGGCGGGGGGGAATGGGAGGTGCTGGCCAGGGGGACCGTCCCAACTGCCCGGGTCTGGCTCTCACCTGCCCCGGAACTCGAGGTTGTAGATACTCCGCAGAGTTTCCCGCTGACACTCCTGCTCCCGGCCCGTCTCCTGCAGGAACTGCACGAACTGATCCCCCCACTGCCTGGCCTCAGCCACTCTGAACCGCGGCATGGTCGAGCAGAGCTGTGCCGAGCTGTGCCAAGGTGTGCCAAGCTGTGCCGAGCTGTGCCGAGCTGTGCCGTGCCGTGCCTACGTGTGCCAGGTTAAGCAGAGCTGGGCTGGGCTGGGCTCACCGGGGCTGCTCGTTCAGGGAGAAACGAAACCGAAAGGGGCCGTGAGCCCTCGGGATCGCCCGCCCAGACCGGGGGGGGGGAGATGGGGAGGGATCGTGGGGGCGGCTCCCGCCCGGCGCCTCCTGTCCCGCAGCATCGCCCCGCGCCCCACGGAGGGGTCCGGCCGCGGGGATTGCCCTGGCTGGGTGAGGAGGGGCTGTGCCGGGGGCTGACCCGCCCGGGAGCCCGAGGGGCGCATCCCCCCCATCGCAAGGTGACCCCAGAAATGACGGGCAGGTGCCCAGCCCGGGCTGTGCAGTGTCAAAGGTGGGGCTGGCTGTCACCCCACCCCTGCAGCCCCCCAGCAGTGTTTGTCCCCAGGGTGGGCAGCAGACGCTGCCGGCCCCCACCTGTGCTGCCCTCGGGGCGGGGAGGTGCCCAGGTGTGCTGCATCCATGGATCCAATGGGAGGGATGAGGGGCTCCCAGGGCTCCAGCTGCTCTATAAAGAGGGAATCAGCAGCACCAGGTTTCTCGTGCTCTCACCTCCAGCCTGCCTGGTGACGGTGGTGGTTGCTGAGCTGCTGCTATAAGACACCCCAAGCCCCTGGGGCTGCTCGTGGTGTTGCCCGGGTGCTGCTCGGGTGCTGCTTTTGCCTCTCTGTGGCCCAAGGGTGCTGGGTAAGTCTCCTGTTCTTTCTTCCTTAGCTCAGGGTCTTTTCCTCCATCCCAAGCTCTGCCAATGCCCTGCCACTGTCCAGAGGTTGCTGGGAGGCTGTGATGGTGTAGAGCCCCTCGCTGACTGCAGGAGGGCTGAGGCTTGAGAAACGGGGCATTGCCTTTGGAGGAGTTGCTTGCAAGTCTGTCTGTCAGGCAGAATGTTGGAGCTTTAAGTTTTGGTCTTGTAAACAGAGAGGAAAACTCTTTCCACGTGGGCAGAAGGGGAGCCTGGCTGCTCTCAGGCTGGCAGGACCCATCTTGTGGCCCTGGGCAGGGCCAGCTTTGCCTTCCCTGGATCAGTTAAGCTGCAGTACCTGCTATGATTCATCTGGGGTCAGGCTTTGATTTTTGTACACTCCAGCAGAGCCAGTCCAGGATATTCACTGCTCTGGAGCTGGCCTTGGTCTCTGCTGAAGTCTCTGGCCTCCAGGAGACAACTGCTTTCAGGGTTACAATCCCTCTGGGCATGTGGCAGCCCTGGGCTGGCACTTGCTTGGTGCCCCAGGGGCGGTCAGACATGCCAAGCACTGCTTTTCCAAGGGAGAAATAAGGGTCGGGACTGGGACTGAGATAGCTGAGTCTGCTGTTGAGACGCTGGTGGGAGATAGGGGCCAGGAGACAGGCAGGGACCGAGCCAGCCTAAAGGACGATTAGCTGAAGATTTGGAGGACAGAGAGATAGAAACTCTCATTATTGCAGCTCTTAAGGCTGGAACAATAAGGGCAGAGAGCAGCTTTCAGTGTAACTAAGGAGCAGGAGAAGACTAGCCTTGAGGCTGATAAAAGCTGTGTTGTGTGAACAGCCTTATCTTGGGCCCCGGCTTCAGCCCCACATTCTTGGAATTGCTGCCGCGATTTCCTGGATGGATGCACGGCCACGGCCCCCAGCACGTGAGGCACTGGCACACACAGCCTTTCATCTCCCCGGGTGCTGCCGCAGGGAGGGACCCTCTCCCACAGACTGTCCTTGAGTGGCTCCGTGCAGGGCATTTTCCAGCCCTCCAGCACAGCCCTGCTTTGTCCCGGGTAGGATCCAACCAGGAGCGTTTCCTAAGCTGAGGGAGGTGTTACAGTTACGCACAGAGGATGAGTGGAATGACGTCTGCTGTCGTTTTCCAGGCTGAGGTGCTTCGTTAGAGCTCTGTGACTGTTTTTATTTCATTTTGGAAGTTCTCAGCCCTCCAGTGGCCATGTCTGTGTAGCAGGGTGGGAGCACCACCCCTCCTTAATCATGGAACCATTAAGGCTGGAAAACACCTCTAAGATCACACCGTGTTGACCACTAAACCATGTCCTCAGGTGCCACATCCACACATTTCTGAACCGTTCCAGGGATGGTGATTCCACCACTTTCCTGCCTTCAGGCAGTCACCTCTCCATCTGCCTTCACCAGGCACCAGCAGAAGTGAGACCACGAAAGAACAGACACAAATGGCTTTAAACAAAGACCAGTGTATTTGCACTAGACTAGTTGATACAGAGGATGCCTGAGGGATGAATGGTCAGTCTCAACAGCAAATACAAATATATTTCATTTAGACAAAACTCACAAAGGATAGACACACTTGTTTTGTTTTGTGGTATTACTGTGCAAAACCTGAGGTGTGATGCACAGGCAGCCCCATCCCTCTCTTCCCAACCCCTTCCTTTGTGTATTTAAAAACAGGAAGACATGAGCCAGTTTAAAAACCAGGACCTGCAAGGTGGCCCAGTGATAACAAAGTGCAAACAAAAGCAAAGGGAATTCACCAAAGGGGGTTAATTTTTCCAGTGAATCCATGTTCTGAGCTCTGAGCATATGTCTCTTCAACCTCCCCTTCAGACAAACTTGTAGGACTGCTAGTCTTGATGTTACAGGGAAAAAACCCAAACAGTAACACATAGCAAGCATCTAGAAGAGATTCATTCCAAAATCCCATCTAAGTATGACAAGAAACTGGCCACAACTGAGACAAAAGGGAAAGGACTTTTTTTCTCTCACTTTGGTGCAAGTTTATTTATTTTGTACACTATCCATCCATACACCTGTGATACAAATCTATGAACCTGCCACAAAGCATTAAAGCACAACATACCTATTATTCTGTAGACATTTGCATTTTTAATCACTACCCAGCCCTTTTGGACCAGCAGTGAGTGAACACAGGAACTTGTTCTGTAAAAATGCAGATGTTTGGTAACCGTAAGCAGAGATGTTCACTTTTAGGGAACATGGATTTTCAGAGTAAAAAACAAACAAAAAAAAATACATCCCTGGAAGAGCTGGGTGAGTAGGGAGTTCTGTAAAGGATCCTGTAAACTTATTTTATACAGTAAAATCTAAGCCTGCAGGCCTTCTGCTTCGTGGAGGTTGGGAATAAGGATACACAAGGACTCACTGTCTTGCATTTACTGTGTCTTGCAGCGTTTGTGAGCTGTTGGCAGGTTTGACAGACTCACTGGAGTACCTGGAGTGGTGTAATACAGGTGAAGGGAATGCTCTGCACCCTCCTCTGGGGGTTACAATAGGGCTTTTCCAGCTAGGAAGTTTTCCAACCAGTGATTGAAAACAGCTATACCTCGGAGCCACGACCGGCTGAATTAAAATGACCTATTAAATGCATTACAACAGGAAGTTTACGTGGCAGGAAACACAAAACACAAAGACAACGCTATTTGTTCCACAGTTCCCTCTGAGGCTAGAAAACCTGTTAACTTTGAAAGCCCTAAAAAAATGCTGCTCTGGTTTAGGAACCACCTACTTGGCATAGGACCACGTTTGTTTTGTTTTTTGTTTCGTTTGGTTTTTGTTTTTTTTTTTTTGCACACACCACCATTTCACAGAACCTCCCTGCCCCTGCCTTAGGCATTCTGCATTTCCTTGCCAATCTTGTAGCTGAGGATTTTGTTCCAGTCGATCTTGGTGCGGGTGACGGGCAGCTGCCGGCGTAAGGCTTTGAAAGTGGTGTCTGACATGGTCTGGTAGTTCTCACTGATTGCTGTCTGCAAGGGCAAGCACTTGGGTCAGGGCAGTCATAAGATACTCTGAGAAAGCACAGCTCAGTGGTAAAGCCACAAACCCCTTCCTAGAAGGTGAAGGCACGCTATTAACTAAATTAATAATGCAGTCACCAGTGTGTGTAAAAGCAAAAGGGTGACTGAACAGCACCTCCTTAGGTGTTTCACTGCCTTATCTCTCTCGAGTCACCTTGCACACAGGCTGGGACAATGTAAAAAGCTGTTGCATAAATTTCCTCTTCGGTATTTTTAACTGTTACAAAGGAAAATACTGACTCACCCACTCCACTCCCACGCTTGTTCCAGGCATTGCTTGTAACCCTTCAAAATAACTACAGAGCAAACCTGATTCTTTCAACAAATACTACTGGCCCTTTTCTGAGTACTTCTTAGTCCACACCAGATTCAGCCAGAAGCAGAATTAGAGGTTGGTTTTCCACTAAAGGTAAAGGGAGACTGATATGATTCCATGGTTTATTTAACCACCAGTGATCTTACCTGGTACTCATTTTCTGCGTTTTCTATTATCTTAATAAACTCCTTAGCAGTCTGGACATCACTCTGCAACGGAGAACAATACATTTTCCTGTGTTCAAGAGCAATCCACAAAAGCTACACAGTAGATTTCTTCTCAAGTGACAGGCTGAGTGCAGATGAAGTGGGTAACACCAGCAGCTTGTGTTTGTAGCTGGGCTCCTTTCACTTGCTACATACTGGGTAGGGCCTGTGCTCCAAACTGGAACAGGGCTGCACCCTAGTGAGCAAAAGGGAAGTGGATCTTTGTGGTACAAAAGGGATTTTGCAGTTGTTGCTCCCTCTACTGTACTACAGAACTTTCTTAATTTCCCTTAGTGTATGTCTCTCACTGTTCCTTTCCCTTGCATGGTGATAGAAAAGCATATTCTGTTCTCTTTAACCCAAACTTCTAACCTTTCTAATAAGGTCAAACTGGGATTCCCATGTGATTCTAAACACTGCACTGACTATGCACCCTAAAATTACTTCAAAGCCAAGAGAATGCAGTCACAGCAGTGTATGCTTTGTGAGCTGTTTAAGGAATAAAATATCTGCTTAGCATAAGAAAAAAAAAACCTTTTAGCACACTTACTGACACCTGTACAGAGTCCTGGATGTCTTTATGACTAACCAGCTGGACGTTGCCATCTTCATAGTAATGGACCTGGACCAGGAGACAGAAGGCAGGTTATCATGACCCCTCACTCCACAATCCCTGAGCCCCCAAAATGCTACCAGAATGGCACAACAGAGCGTTGTGCCAGACTTCTCTGCTTACGTGGAGACTAAAAGCAGGATGGATTTTCTAAAAGGTTTCATTCTTTGTCAAGACTTTGTTCAAGATTATGTTAATGCAGTAAACGCCTAGAGTTGAGATAAGAGCAATCATGAAAGATTCAAGGTAGAGGTTTCAGCCCTATAAACTGAAGGAGACTTGGAGGCCTGTGGGGTAATGCTACAGAATAAACCACAGGCCAGATTGCAGACTATGTCTGAAACATTAGATTTAAGAATTAATTTCTTGAATATTTTAATAGCTCCTGATTTGAGAAGGACATCTCTGCTGCATTTCAGCATCTCATTCTGAGCTGAATGCATTTGTGTAAGAGAAGCACAATGCAGCTTCTCCTGTTATTGCCAGGAAAAGCAGCTCACCTGGATTTTGAGCACTGCAGCCACTTGAGCTGTCGGTGGTGTGATGGTGAACTTCCATTCCGATCTCCAGCGCCCGTTCCTAAAAACAATCAAAGCATGAAAACTATTCCCCAAAACCTCTAACAGCAAAAAGAACCAAACCAACAAGTTGTTTCTGGTGTTGTCTTAGGACCAATAGTACAGTGCTCTACGTGGCACTGAGTTATATTTGTGAAGGGCAGCTGAGCACAAAGCAGCTTCAGTACAGAGCAGCTCCAGTGTGCTTGTGCTCTGGAACATGGAAAGGGGTATCTATCCAGCTCTGCTCTCCCTCTGCATAGGTCACAATGAAGGGTTTTGGCAAGTGCCAAGGGGGCTGCAAGGAAAACAAGACTACAGAAGGAGAAGAACTTCTTGGGAAGCCCAAGAACACCTGCCCTTCAGACTCTGTCAGACCTAGGGGATGGGTTGGTTTGGGGACTAGCAAAGGAAGAAAACACGCAGTGTTGAAATTGTCTTACCAGAAGTTTTTGGGCTGGAACTGGTGGCTCTCAATACAGGCAATAATTGTCTGCTGCCCATCTATAGATTTACCATAAACCTGCATTTAGAAAAAGAGTTAAAAAGGCCCAAGAGCTGAGGAAAGCCAGTCTTATTCTCTGTTCTGCAGCGTGGTGGAGGCGGCTGTTGTGGTACCTCACGGGAACACGTATCACTAATTACACTGTCCAACACCTCCACTGGCAGGTATTTCATTCCCTGCAGGTGTGAAGGTGCTTGGCACTGGTGAGCATGAAAAAGAAGGTCTAATGCATCTTTAACACCCTGTGCATGCCAAGGTATTTGCACCCTCTTTGGAACTTGTTATTCCAAAGTCAGCCAGAACACCAGTGAGGATGGAGAATTCCAACAGCTCTGCCCGGCCCAGAGCCCACTCCAGGACTGACTGACCCAGAGAAATGAATTTTCAGGGGAACAAGATGGATACTCAACAGTACAGAAGCCGTTGGGATAATGATCTTTCACGTAGGCTCTCAGGGCACTGTCACAGGCATCTCTCCACTGCTTTAAACCCGACTCCGTGTCCTCAGGCTGGGGGTCACTTGCTTCTTTCCTTAAATGATCAAACTTAAAAGAAAGTTTGTTTCTTGGGTCTAAAAATCTGCCATTGCCCAGATCACCATGTTCTGTGATTAAGACCTGTAAAAGGAAGTGAAATGAAGATACATTTAGGCCCCTATAAATGTGTTATTTTGCGTTTTTCCCTATTTGGGTATCAATGTTTCCATAGACTCTGTAATACTGTATAAAGAAAGAGATTTTTCAGTGATAATTTCAACTAGCAGTAATTGTAGTGAGGCTGAAGGTAACTCTCTGCTTTCCACACTAATACAGCCAGTTCTGTGTCAGAAGACTAAGTGCAGTATTATAATAATGAATATATTTAGCTTAAAGTTGGACATCCTTACAATTATAAGCAGGTGGTTTTGCTTTTAAAATTTTTGCTGTTCTCCTTCTCAATTTCTAAAGGAAACGAAGAATTTTAATCTGGAATTTACCATTTATTGCCATGCTCCATGTTGCAATAGTTCTCCTTTTGATCAAGAAGGGTACATAGATGTGGCTACTTCTGAAAAAGCACAAGGCACTGTATCTTCCCTCTCCTCTCTCTTATTCACCACAATTCTCTGACTTCCCAAATATTGATTTGATTGGGGTTTGCTGGGTTTCTTTGCAGGTTCTACAGTAACTTTCTCTTGTCAGAGCTATTTCTATGAACAGCCCTCTTAAAAATATCTGCCTCCCATGAATATCTGGGACACCAGGAAAGCTGGGTCAGAGCTTGGCTCAGAGAACAGAACAGATGGTCAGGCAGCTTTCTGGCTTCTCTGTGCCTTGCTGCTTGTTCCCAAAAAAAAAGGATAATAAAGGAAAATTGTTTTGCTGGTACAGATTGGATGGTATTAGGTATAATCATTTTACCAAATCAATGCTTTGGTATCATCAAAGACACAGCTTGTTTTTTAGGGTAGCTGGGAATGGATTAAAATGCAGAAAATTAATCAAACTCTTAAGAATCTACTATCGACTGTCAGTAGGAACTGTAAGCAAGTAGCAACATAAGGATTTGGAAGTTAGCTTTAAATAGACAGTAATCTTTAATCATTCATACTCTAAGTAGAATTCCAGGGACTTCAGCATGGAGCTCTAAGGAACAATGAATTGGAGTTACTAAGGCAGGACTTTAATAGAACATTTCACTTATGCTTTGTCCTTAGAGAAGAAAGGTTGGCAATATAATGATGTGTGTGGGATGGGGGAGAGGTGGTACCTTGTGAGCAGAATGAGTGAGTCAGCTGGTGCTGATGTGGAGCTGTGAGTCAACCTCTTGATGAAACAACATTTTTATTGCTTTTGCAGAGTGCAGTAACAGAAACCTCAGGTGTACAAAGCTTCCCTTACCTGATCCTCGTACCCTTCTATCTTCACTGGAGTGAACTGATCCATGTTGTACTGTGCAAATGCACTGTGGAGGGTTAAAAGAACAGGAACTTTAGCTGTACATTTATTCTGATTCGAGAATTAAGTACATTCTGTGATTACAGGAGGTGAAATTTCAGCCTAATTGGGCAAATAATGCACACACAAGCACCCTCAGAGGATTTTCAACACCTTTTATTGTTGATAGCTATAAAGCTCAGGTCTAAAGGCAAGTTTGTTTAGTGATGACCAGGAAAGTACAGAGTTCAAAAGTAGAACAGCAGGAAGCCTGGGGGAATGTGAGCAAGCCAAGCCAAAACAGGAACACCCCAGCTACAATTCAGACAGCAGCAAGGTAAACAAACCAGCAGACTAATATTTACAACAATTTTCTTATGTAAAGACCTGTTGACTGACATGTCACCTAGCTTGAAGTCAAATCTTAGCATCAAAAAGCTTGTATGTGTAATCTTTAAGCATCTCCTGATGAGGCTGTGGAAGTAAACAAGGTCTTCTGAAAGCTTTTTATTGAGGGCAGTTCTTTCTCTAAATTTAGGCTACGGATTACTCAGTATTTCAGGCTCCACTTGCTTTACAAATCATGAGCAGACACTGCTGCTGCAGCAGAGTTAAACTTTTTGGCAGGGTGCCTTCCTGTCAGTTTTATACAGCACAAATCCCAATTTAGGGCTTTTAAAAAGAATCATCCACACCTTTCATTATGTATTTTGTTGGAGGTGTGGTAAGGAATTACAGAAGATTGCTCTCAGTACAGCAAATGGCCTTCTTTGTCACAGAATGATGGGTGCAAGAAAACATAAGAATATTTCATGGTAATTTGACTTATGTTTGAAATTTTAGGACTTACTGTGCTGCTCCTTCCCTGAGAAGATTGTCATTGTTGAGCAATAACCGGACATCTGAGGAAGAGAGGGTTCAGGTGGGTTATTGGATTTCTTTTGATCAAATGTTTCTCTTTATGCATTTCATTTTCAACTGTACAAAGGCAAACATTGAAATGATTAAATCACTTCATTAAGGAGATGTAGTCCAGGATGACAGCATGCTTTTCCTAGCCACCTCTTAACCTTAAAAGCAGCGTAGTGTGACACAGCCTTAGATTTTTGTAATAGATAAGACATGAAAAAACACCACAGATCATTTTTTCCTTGTTTACTTACCATTGAATACTTCATTGAACTCCCCAGGGGGTGCATGAGTGATGAATTTTGCAGCTATACGCACCTAGAGTGGAGCAGAAAAGCAATTAAAGACAAGATAATGTACTGAGTTCACTCACTGAGTTCATACAGGCTGAAGCAATTCACCAACAAAACCAGCTCTGACAGTGATAGAAGGTGCCAAATGTAGGGAGAAATCTGGGCATGTGTTGCCAAAACAAAAACAGTCTCATAAGACTGTTCAAGGACGGGGCTTGGAGCAACCTGGAGAGGGGAAGGTGTCCCTGCCCATGGCAGGGGGTGGAACTGGATGAGCTTTGAGGTCCCTTCCAACCCAAACTATTCTGTGTTTCTGTGAAGATCAGAATTTTTTTTAGTGTAATAATAATTCCAAATGTGCTCAGCAAGTTGCAAACTTCACAGGGGCACCTGTAGAAGTGTGAATTGTTCAACCTGCACAGTCCTGACCTGTTTAAGGACTATGAATGCTGGCCAGCCACTCTTTGTGTGTGGATGTTTTTTCCTGATCCTTGCCAGTAACCGGACACCTGAATACCAGGGCTTAAAAAGAATCAGGAACCAGGGTAGTAAAAGTGAAACTGTAACTCCAGCACAACAGAGGAGTGTCTGACACATGTTGCAGGTCATTGAGGCAACTTGGTTTTGCTGAGCCCTGGCTGAAGAAGTCACTGCTCCACAGGAAACAGTGTGTGAAGGAGAAGCTGATCCCTCTGGAAATGGAGCATCCTCTCATCTTTGCTGCAGTCCAGCCATGAACTGCCAGGGCAGTGAAGAATTCAGGCATGTGGAACTGGGAGTGACACAACAAATAACTGAAAAGGCCAGCTCTGAATGTCCAGAAACTTTGAGGCTGGGAAGGAAAAACCCATTCTCTTCTAAAAGAGGTAACAAACCCCCACTGTGCTTGGAAATCCAATATACATGTCTTGCACTGTTAGAATTTAGATGGTCCATGTATTGATTCCATTGGAATTAGTAAGAGTTTATGGTTTTCATTATCAAATCTTTTATGGCTTTTACAGGACCGAAGGGAATAGAAACATCTTGGAAGAAATGAAACAGGAAATGTCACAAAATTAAACCTCTCCCTTAGAATAATAAAAACGTCACATTTCCTCTGATAAGCCCAGTAACAAAGCTGAGCAATGAGCCTCTCCCACCCAACGAGACATTTATTGAAAGGGACTGCAGAGCTGCTCATTACCACTCTGATTACTTTCTACTTTTCATTTTGAGCAGCAAAACAAAGGATTCTCCCTGTGCATCCAATTGCTTCAGCTGAGTTATTGCCAGAGCTGGAAATAACTCACTTCTCTCAACAGTCCCCCCCTGTTTCAATTAGAAATTGCTGTTTGTATTGTTTGTCACATAATGATTTAAAGCAAGACGTGGAGGGAAATAAACACCTTTCCAAACAAAGGGTAATTGCCTTATTCCAGTAGGATCAAGTGACAACTCTGCCCTAACTGGATTGAGCTTCAGATAAAAATAGATCATCTTCCAAATTAGCATCTATTTCAAAAAATAGATACATTCTTTTGTGCCTGAGGTAATTAAGCAATACAAAGAAAAGATTAGAAAGACAGTAACTTGTGTAATTGATACGGTACAGAATGTCAAACCAATTTTTTTCCTCTTAATTTTCTGGTTTCCGGTTGGTAAATGTACAGCAATTCTAAAAATGGAGCTCTTACTGTTTGAAAGCTTCCACTATTTAAAGAGCTGTAATGAGGACACACTGCTGCCATAATATTGTCAATTTTTAGTCAGGAATTTGGGTGGTGATGAAGACAGCCTGGCAGTAATTAAGAGGGACCCTGCTGCTCTGTATCCTCTGTGGGCTTTGCTCAGAGCCAGCCCTAAAAAAGATTTCTGAAATGACACCCTGTGCTTTTCTGAGGCAGTGCAAGTGTAAGCACAGCACAGGGTATCACTGTGCTGGAGCTCTCACAAATATCTACCACTCATGCCATGCACTGGATGAACAGATTCCCTTTTATTTCTCCATATATTCCTTTATAAGGCCCCTAAAAGGCATAACATTTCGTATCTTACAAATTTATGCAATAACACTGTGGCTGCAGAACATGAAACCCTTGTAAAAGGGGTCAGTGTTTTAACAGGTTGAGTTTTAGATCAGTGGATTCAGTAAGAAAATCCCTGTGGGGAAAAAGAAGCAAGAAACAGGAAGAAGAAAAGGCAAGTGTTACAGGAGAGATTTTTAGTCTTCCACAAGTTCTCTCACTTGGAAGTGAGAGAAAAAATCAAATCAACACAGAAAGGCCTCTGCACTTCAATCAGATGCTGTTACAAACCCAGTTCTGAACAAAGCAAAGGTTGCAAGTGTTCACTTGGATAATTATCCCTCGCCCTGCCTCTCTCATGGAGCAATAAAACACAAACCATTTCAGTGCAACTCTTGAAATCAGGAGTGGGGTGCAGGAAACAGGCGGGGTGGGGAGTGATCAGTTTGAAATGTCAGGCCCTTGCAGGGCTGTTGGGTTTCAGAGCTGGTTTGCAGCAGGGAGGTGTCAGGATGTTCCTCTGCAGAAGCACCAAAATAAGACTTTTTGCAACCTGCCCCATTTCCTGCCCTCGGGGCTGTTTCAGGTGCCATTTCAGCCTGAAACAGGAACTTCCTGCTTCTAAAATGGGGAAAAGGCTGAGGGGGAGGGAAGTTGCTCAGCCATCAGTTCAAACTGTCAAAACAGCAACGGGGTTGATTGCAACTAAAATCGTGGGATCCTGGAATGGTTTGGGTTGGAAGGGATTTTAAGGATCATCTCATCCTGCCCCCTACCATTGGCAGGGGCACCTCCCACTAGCCCAGGTTGCTCCAAGCCCTATCCAACCTGGCCTTGGACACTTCCAGGGATCCAGGGGCAGCCACAGCTTCTCTGGGAATTCCATCCCAGCCCCTCACCACCCTCACAAGGAAGAATTTCTTCCCAATATCCCATCTAACCCTGCCCTCTGGCAGTGGGAAGCCATTCCCCTTTGTCCTGTCCCTCCATCCCTTGTCCCCAGTCCCTCTCCAGCTCTCCTGGAGCCCCTTTAGGCTCTGGAAGGGGCTCTCAGGTCTCCTTGGAGCTTCTCTTCTCCAGGTGAGCACCCCCAGCTCTTCCAGCCTGCCTGAGAAATGAATCTCTTACCTAAAATAGGCCCACAGACAATAAGGAAGTGAGGTTTGGAGGATTGAACGAGTTAATTTTGTTGCTCTATTGATTTTTTGTTTGTTTGTTTGGGTTTTTTTGCTTTGCTTTAAAGCACTGGCAAACTCACCCTTAGAAAATGAAACTTCTAGACTCATCTGAATAATCACAAAATGGACACTACAGTCAATCTTTGCTGCTTGTTTCTCTTTCAGATCCTCCCTTAAGACTGTCCTTTTCTACCCTTGCAAGGCGTGGAGACACTTGGAATTGAATCAATGTCTCAGTTACGTGCTCTAAAGACCACGTCAATTCTGCTCTGGAATACTTATTTCAAACAATATCATCAGAAATCCTGACTGAAGGATGAATTGGACCTTTAAAGCCCTGCTTGTTTCACAATGAATGTCACTGTAGTAAAGCCAAAATTGGCAGTTCAAGGGAAAAATGAAAGCAAGGCTCCAGACTCAGAGGATCCTGGAAGCTCCAGCAGCCTGAACAGCTCCTCCTGAACGTTAAGAAACTAAATATAACACTTTTATGATGTAAAAAAAGTGTAACAGTGGATTTTTTAACTACTGTTTGCAGGTAACTGGTGTTACCTGGCAGAAAACGTGACCTCCTGGTTTGTTACACAAAGCCCAGCGCTGCTCACAGACAGTAATTTCCCCGCATTCCTCCACAAGAGGAACAATCTGCTCATTTCCCCCTTTCCTAATATAATTATGGCTCTCTTTGGTTCTGCTCAGTCCTTTCCATCCCGTGCAATTTGCAGGATCTACATCAAAGCTCCCGCTGGCAGCTGAGGGAGCAGAAAACGCCCAGACACGCTCCGAGGGTGTTTAGGAAGCAAAGGGGTCGCACAGCACCTCGGACACGCCGGGAACTTCGCTGATTTGGGAAACGAAGCTCAGAAAACACAATTTCAAAGAATCGATTAGGTTGGAAAAGACCTCCAGGATCATCGAGTCCACCCTGTGCCCGATCCCAGCCCAGAGCACGGAGTGCCACGGCCAGTCCCTCCTTGGACACCTCCAGGGCTGGGGACTCCACCACCTCCCTGGGCAGCCCCTTCCAGTGCCCGAGCACCCCTTCCAGGAAGAAATTCCTCCTGATGTCCAACCTGACCCTCCCCCGGCACAGCTCGAGGCTGTGTTCGTTTTCACTCGCAAAGCCGCGCCGAGGCGCCTCAGCTGCACCCGAGCAACGAGGAAATGGAAACGCAAAGAGGAAAATAAAACGCAAAGCGCTGCTCTGGTAACAAACAGCCGACCCGCGGCCGGTTCCCCGGCAGCGGCGGCCCGGCGGTCTCGGGGGCCCGCCTTGAGGCAGCCACAGCCCAGCCCGGCGGCTCCGGGGAAGCCTCCCCGCCGTTCCCCACGCGTTGCTTTCCCGCGGGCCGCGCTGCCGGCCCAGAGCGGAGCGGCCGCCGCCCCCCGCCTTTACCTTCTCCTCATCCGACACCCGCTCCTCCAGGTCCGCCATCTTGGCAGCTCCGGGCCCGGCCCCGCGCGGTGCATGCCGGGAGCGCCGCCCGGCGAGCCGGGAGCGCGCCTGCCGCCATCTTTAGAGCTGGCGGGTTCAGGGAGTGCTGACCCGCGCAGCGTCATCTTAGCTGCGGGCAGACGCCGCGCGGCCGCCATCATGGAAAAGGGCAGGTTCACGCCGTACCGGGAGCGTGGCAGTGGCGGAGCCGCCGCATCCCGGAGTCTCTGAGGCTCCCGCTGGTCACGTGGGGGATGCGAAGGCGCAGTAGCACTGGTGGGCTTCCGCCCCGGTCATCCCGTTGGCGGCGATGGCTGAGGGCGGCGGGCCGGAAGCGCGGGCAGCGCCATCTTATCTGCGGGCAGACGCCGCGCGGCCGCCATCACAAGAACGGGCGCGGCGGCCCGTGACTGGTAGCGCGGCCGTGGCGGAGCCGCCGCGCCCTAGAGTCCCCGGGGGGCTCCCGCTGCTGTGTGGGCACCGCTCGGTGCGCGCCCCGAGCCCGCTCTGAGCACTGACGGGCTCCGTCAGCAGCCTCCCCACGCCGGAGCCCCGCCCCGGCGGCCGCTCCGCCCCTGTCCCGGCGTGCCCGGTCGTTGGCGATGGCGGAGAGCGGCGGGAGCGGCCGGGGCCCACCGTGCCTTGGGGCGGCCGCGGCGCTGAGGCGCTGGGAGCAGCTGAGGCGGCGGGCGGCGACTCCCTGGGCCCGCGGGCTCCTGGCCGTGGCCGCGGGGCTCGGGCTCCTGTACGCGGTGCTGCGGGTGCCGCTGCGGCTGCGGGACGGCCTAGCCGCCGGTGAGGGGCTGGGGGGAGGCGGGACCCCGTTGTGGGGCCGGGGGTGCGGGCAGGTTGTCCCGGGATGTGTCAGCAGTAGGGCGGTGATTGTCACCCTGTGCTGGGCGCTGGTGGGGCCGCACCGCGAGCGCTGCGTCCTGTTCTGGGACCCTCAGGACACGGAGGGGCTAGAGCGTGTCCAGGGAAAGGGATGGAGCTGGAGAAGGGGCTGGAGCACCAGGAGCGGCTGAGGGAGCTGAGGGGGCTCAGCCTGGAGAAAAGGAGGCTCAGGGGGGACCTTCTCACTCTCTGCAACCCCCTGACAGGAGGGGGGAGCCGGGGGGGTCGGGCTCTGCTCCCAGGGAACAAGGGACAGGAGGAGAGGGAACAGCCTCCAGCTGTGCCAGGGGAGGCTCAGGTTGGACATCAGGAGGAATTTCTGCATGGAAAGGGTGGTCAGGCCTTGGCAGGGGCTGCCCAGTGAGGTTTGGAGTCCCCATCCCTGGAGGTGTCCACAGAAGGACTGGCCGTGGCCCTCAGTGCTCTGGGCTGGGGGACAAGGTGGGAATGGGGCACAGGTTGGACTCGGTGGTTTTGGGTTCTGTCCCAGCAGTGCCCACGGGCTGGTGGCACATCCCGGCCTCCTGCAGTGACACACAGAGCACATCACCCAGCCCTGGGGCTGGGACACAGTAGGCTCTGGGATGGGCAGCCTCGGGCCACTGGAACCAGCCAGGGGGGGTCTGTCAGGCTGGAGCCCTGCCCTGGTCACCTCTGTCCCTCCCTCCTCCCACCAGCCTGGGGTGGTGGCCGGTGACAAAGCTGATGTGCAGTTTGGGTCTGAACCACTAAATAATTGCATTCCTGCCCTGTGCTGTCGATAGCAGGAGGGAGAGGTCTGTGGAAAACGTATATTCTTAGCACTGAATATAAACTGGCATCAAAACAGCCTGTTTTTCTCTTAGATTAAAGTGAAATAGTACATTAAATTAGCTTGTTCTGGTCCACCAGCCACGTTACGGGTGAGACCATAAGCTGCTTTGCCTAAAAATGTGCAATGCTTTTTTTTTTGGATTGAGTATAAAACCTAATTGACTGTCAGAGATGGTTATAAACAGAGAATAATATATGGCAGGGATTCTCTAACAAAGTAGTGTTATGAAGCTATTAGGGTTGTAGTATATTATATATTTAATAAAAAGCTATTTTTCAGTTCTGCTTGCTAAGTCTTTGTTTTTGTTTCTCTTAACAGTGACCATGTTCTTAAGCACTTTGACTCCAAAATTCTACTTTGCCCTTACAGTGACTTCGTCCTTTATATCTGGGCTGATATTTGTAAGTAGTTGGTTTTTTTTTTCCTAAACAACTTTAGCACCTCTCAGATTATTTCATGAGGGGTAAAGGGAATGAGTATCTGACTCTAGAGGGTGCCTTTGGGCTGGGAAGGAACTTGTTTAGTATCTTCTCTGATGTATTGTAACTACTCTTTTGCTTTGTGTGTTGGGGTGAGTCTGAGGAAATAACTTAAAATATATATATTGGAATAACTTAGAATATATATATATTCTATATAAAAATAAATATAGAATCCCAGGCTGGTTTGGGTTGGAAGGAACCTTAAAGCTCATCTTGATCCACCCCCTGCCATGGGCAGGCACACCACAATCATCTGACCCTCATGCAGACCATGGCACTACATATAAATCTTTCGGGTTAATCTTTATTTTCAGTATTAAAAGCTAAAGAAAATGTCTCTTCTCATCAATTAAACCTAATTACCAGGATGTGCAAAGTCTGTTTTAATAGATTTCTGAGCAACCTGGTCTAGTGGAAGGAGCTGGAATGAGGTGGGCTTTAAGGTCCCTTCCAACACAACCATTCTGTGATTCTATGATTTGGGCTTTAAGGTCCCTTCCAACACAACCATTCTACGATTCTATGATTTATTCTTTTAGGTTATTTTTGTGAAATGAAAAAAAAACTACACCCAGTACAAATTTGGTACTGCAGGTAGGGCTGATAAATCCTCACCAGATAAAGAGAATATAAGGGGGTTTTTTGCCTCTGTTCCCAGTTTCCCTACACAGGCACTACTGAAGGGGTTTATGAGTTACCCCAATGACCTGAAGGGGAGGAACAGATGTTTGACTAAAATTTTACAAGTTTCTTTCAGTCTCTTTCATGTTCTGTGGCTGATCCTGCGTGACAGGACAGGCCGAGCCAGATCATTAGTGCTACTTTGTGTGGAGATAAAAGTTCCATCTCTAGTCAATTTGCAGAGGGATTTACTCACTGTGGACACTCTTATCCCTCCTGTTTGCTGCAAGGGTGTCACCTAAGGGAGTTTCTGGTGCTTTTTTTCTCCTGTGACAGGTGTTTGAGTGGTGGCACTTCCGAAAATACGGCACGTCTTTCATTGAGCAGGTTTCTGTGAGCCATCTCAGGCCCCTCATTGGGGGTGCAGAGAACAGCCCCCCACCCCCAGCAGCCTTCTCAGCAGGGGACAATGACACCAGCAGGCAGAACATGCCAGGTGATTGATTCCTGATGTATCCCAGCAGCTTTCCTTAAGCTTCAAGGTGGCTGGTTCACCTGAACTGGCTTTTAGTGGCTTTGGCTCTGCATTAGTCTTTGTGAAGAACAGAGAGAACCTACATCTTATAAAGTGTTTTATTAATAATGGTAAAAACCCCTAAACCATTCTTTATTAAAATATTTAGGGAATATCTTACACATTCAGCTAAAATTGTTTCAGTGACATAGTTATTTGCTATTCTAAATATGTGCAAGATAAACATTGCATGAGTGTACGTGGCAGTGTTTAATCTTCCCACCATGTGCTTTTGTACCCCAGCAATGCTGGGGAGCAAAAAAAAAATCTCTCCATATAAATATTATATATAAAAAAATATATGTACATGTATAAGCTTTTATATAAATATATATTTATATAGCAGAAGTTTACAAAGAATATTATACGATCGTACTTAAGTTGTATAACAACAACAGGAAAGCAGCTTTTGAAAGCAAAACTGTATTTCATTACTGCATTTCAAAGTCAAGGTAATATTTCCTGTGCTCTTCATTTAAAAAGTACTTTTATTTTTCACTCCCCAGAGTGCAAAGTGTGGCGAAATCCACTCAATCTTTTCCGAGGGGCAGAGTATAGCAGGTATTAATTATCTTACTTTCCATTGCATCTCTTTAAAATTAATTGGGGCCATGCACATGACTTGTTCACAGAACTTGCACTGGTAATGTCAGGAGACAGCTGGAGACCTACAAGATTATAGGGGTGATTGATGCCAATCCTGTGTTTAAAAGGCACCAAGCCAAGCTTTGGCAGTTTCAATGGTAAGAATGCAAATATTACTGTAACGTTATTTTTTGTGAGAGTAAAGTAGGAGAAAAACTTTATTCAGAGGTTGAGATTCTGAATCTAAATTCTCTTTTATTATTATGGCTGTATTGCAAGTCTCCTTGTGTTCTTTCATTGGAAAAGCTGCTTCCTAGGAAGCCAGTTCCCAAGTTGCTCAGAACTTTACAACCTTTAAACCTTTATAACCTGCCTCTTACTGACATTTCTCCTATTAAAGGTACATGTGGGTGACTGGGAAGGAGCCTCTTACTTACTATGACATGAATTTGTCAGCTCAAGACCATCAGAACTTTTTCACCTGTGACACAGATGCCCTCCGGCCTTCGGACACAGGTACCGATGTTGTCTGTGGGGGAGAGTGCAAAGTGGGTGTTTTTAATGAACTTGAACGTAGATCAAGCTTTCATGTCAAATATTTTGTGGGATTGCAGCCTTTCTCAGCTGCTGAAGAGGTTTAATAGACGTACAGAATCATGGAATGGTTTGGGTTGGAAGGGAAATTAAAAGGTGATCAAGGTTCACCCCCTGCCAGGGGCAGGGAAACCTTCCTCTAGACCAGGGGGATCCCAAGCCCTGTCCAACCTGGCCTTGAAACTTAGTGAATTCAGTGAAATTTAGTGACAAGATGTTTCTTCACCCTGTGCATTCTCTACAACTTTAAGCCTGTCAGGATCCTGTATTTTAACATCTCACCCATTTCAAATAATCAACACAATACCACAAACCTGGATTGTATTCCCAACAGCCAAAATACACTCTCATTTAAACCTTAGCAATGAACACTGCAGTCTCCAGAATTATTTTTTTTTTTCCTTGTGTTCCACATGTTTAGTGCAGCAAATGTTCTTTACCTGGTTATTGTCAGTGTGGGTGTGAATTATTGTCAATTTGTCACGTTCTGGAAGTGTTCCTTGTCAGCTGCCTGTGACAAGCTTGATATGAACGATGTGTTTTTATTTCACAAAAGGGAGTGTATTGTCTCGCTTGCTAAGCCAAGACTAATATTTTGTTTCCAAATGAAAAACTCAAACATTTTTCCACGTTATTCTTGCTGGACAGCAGAAGGGTTTGTTCCAAAAGAAACATGTATAGATTCTTCAGTTTTCTTATCGTCCTTGAGATAGGCCAGATATGGAACTCCATGAATGTAAGGTTTTGGAGGTTTTTCAGTGTGAAAGTTACTTAGTTTTGCATGGAAAATGGTAGCTCTGAGAGTGTTGTTTTTCTTCTGCTAGAAGTTGGTTTTCAGTTTGTGTTTTTCATTTTTCCCAATTGGAAACATAGTGGGGAGGGGTTTAGAGTCATTGCATTGAAATAATTTTGAATTCAAGCTGTAAATCAAACGACACTTTTGAATAAATTTCAGCCTTTTCCATTGTTTCCTAGAATACTTTCTAATTAGGTGATAAATTATTACAATTATAACTTGAATTGGCTTTGCTGTGTGATGCCACTCAAATATGGTTTGTAAATTTAAAAAGGAATTGTTTAACCCTTTATGATCTGACAGATTTCTGAATAGAACTCCAGAATGGTTTGGGTTGGAAGGGACCTTACAGATCATCTTGTTCCACCCCCTGCCATGGGCAGGAACACCTTCCACTAGCCCAGGTTGCTCCAAGCTCCATCCAAGCTGGCCTTGGACACTTCCAGGGATGGGGCAGCCACAGCTTCTCTGCACAACTTAACATTCAAGTATGAATCTCTACCTGTGCAAGACACCCCTTACTCCATCACTTGTTTTCTTTGAAGTTCTGTTTGAAAGCTTAAATTAAAATTCTGTGCAGGTCCGTGCAAGAACCTGTGTTTAACAATTGCTCCTGCCAAGCTTTCAACAAGTCTTGGGAAATGTTTCCAAAAATCTGTAGCAGTTTAGAAATTGTACATCTGCCTGGTTATGTAAGCTGTCTTTGTGCTCTGTGTAGGAGTTCTGAAATGGTCAGTGAAGAATCTTCCTGGTGGTGTTGCTTTCTCAGACTAAATTTGGGGTGTAATGAGCTGTTGCAAGAGTTTGATGCTTGTGGGAGAAACAGGCTGGAATTAAAACACTTGTTTGCTCTTCCTCCTAACAGTCATACAGTAAATGGGAATTTCCAGCATGGAAATGGATGTTAATTATCGAGCAGTGTGGCCTCCACTGGCTCCCAGGTGTTTCCCAGGGGTCTCTGTCCCTCACCAGCCTTTCCATGTTTCTCCAACAGTTATGCAGAAGGCCTGGCGAGAGAGGAACCCTCAGGCCCGGATTAAAGCAGCATATCAAGCTCTGGAGTTGAACAATGAGTAAGTTTATAAATTCAGCTGCAGTATTTCTTGTTGTAAAGACCAAATGGAGGAATACTGAGCACATTACCAGTTTCTTCATCTCATAATTCACTTTTAGTGAAGTTCTGAGTAGCTTAAGAGCAATTCCTGTGACTGAGAGTTGCACATGGGGCAGTTGCACTGAAGTATTGAGCTGTTCTATTAAAAATGGCTTCTGTGCTTCCCTTTTCTTGGGAAATATATTTTTAAATCTTTGTATCAACAACAATAGCAAATGAGAAATTCTGTTCAGATGTGGAACAGTCTAAATTGAACATGAGATCCTGTTGTCTCAGAGGTGGCAAGGTGGTAGGACTGTATTTGGAGTTCACAGATGCCATTGCTGCAAGGGAGTTAAAAATACTCCTGTAGCACAAACCAGTTTCACCCACTATTGTGATCCATTTTGTTATGTTGTCTTGTAAAAAACTTTAAAACCTGGGTTTGAAAAAGCAAACCAAACACAAAAAAACCCCTTTCCAGACAGTTACAGACCATTTTTACAACTTCAAGGAAAATAATTTAACTCGCTGCTTTTCTCCAAACGTGTGGGTTTTTTTCTGTAAGATGAAAAAGGTTTCTGTTTTTCCCACACTTATCCTTTGAACTGAAGTCAATATTTTGGTACTTTATTATTGTTAGTGCTTAGACCTTAAACATAAGTGAAACCTGCCCATTTTTAATGCTTCTAGCACTTAGTAAAGATACTAAACTTCATCCCTCAGAATAACTAGTAGGTTTTTCTCTTATTTCAGTTGTGCCACTGCATATGTCCTCCTGGCTGAGGAAGAAGCAACAACAATTGTGGATGCTGAGAAGTATTTCAAGCAGGCTCTGAAAGCAGGAGAAATGATTTACAGAAAGTCTCAGAACTGCCATTCCCAGAGCCCCCAGCACGAAGCACAGCTGAGTAAGGACTTGGAATCCCATAAACTCTTGGGTTTGTGTGAGCAGAAATGTAAAACTGAGGTAGAATTAGGAGAGGTAAGGATTGGGACTGATAGACTAATATTTTTTGTCTTTGTCATCAGGAAGAGACACCAATGTATTGGTCTATGTGAAGAGGAGATTAGCAATGTGTGCCAGGAAGCTTGGGAGAATAAGGGAAGCAGTAAAAATGATGAGAGATGTAAGTAAAAATAAAAAAAAAAAAAGTGAGCAACTATTGTTTTCAGTCACACTGTCCAAATTGGTGGTTTCAAGTTCCTTTCTAGGCATCATAATTAATCTAACTGAATTATTTTCCAATGAGACTTGCACATTATGACTGGATGCAGCCTGGTCTAGTGGAAGGTGTCCCATGGCAGGGGTTGGAACCAGATGAGTCTTAAGGTCCCTTCCAAACCTGACCATTCCATGATTCTATGGAATTATGCAGTTTTTTTCATGCTGCTTCCCTTTCAGCTTCTAGCACTCTGAAAGAACAGAACATAGAAAAATCCTGAATTATTGTACCGATTTCTGTTAACTATCTCAGGGATTCAACTGCAGTTCTGTGTGTAATTCATTTCTCTTTCCTGATTTGCAGCTGATGAAAGAGTTTCCACTTCTCAGCATGCTGAATATTCATGAAAACCTCCTGGAGGCACTGCTGGAGTTACAGGCTTATGCAGATGTCCAGGCAGTTTTAGCCAAGTATGATGGTAAGTGGTGGCTGTTGGGAAATGTGGGTGTTTTTGGATAAGAGTAAAAATGAGGTGGGCAAGTTGTTTGCTCATGATCTCAGCTGGGTGACCAGATTCCCTTCACCAGTAACAAATAGATGCTTCCTGAGTGCAGGTCAAGTGTTTCTTTTGACTGCTGAGGTCAAATTTAGGCAAGCTAAATTGCATCCAAGTTACTTTTTATGCTTTTAAGTTACTTCTAATCTGTAAAGCAATCTTTGCTTTGATTCAAGGATTAATTTAATTAATCTCTTTTACATCCCTGGTTATGCCTAAATTTTTTCAGCCAGCACATAGCCCTGTAAGTAACTGATGTAAATAAGCTGGAAAAGGGAGTTTTCCTTTGTCATCTTCCAGGCTTGGCTCCTGTAACCCTGAAGTTGCTCCTCAGAGATCAGCAGTGTGCAGACATGCTGCTTGCCAGAGATTAGTGGTGGGCATTAAACAGTGTAGTTTGCTTTCCCTTTCCACCTCAGCTAATATATTTCAGGGGTTGTGCAAGTCTAGATAAAGGTTAGTAAAACATATACTTATTTTTTTATTGTCCTCGAGGTTTTGCCACCTACACAGTGCCCACATGGTGAGGGTACAAAGTGCTGCTGTCAGAGCTGGCCCTTAAATCACCTTCAGAGTGGAGGGACATAAAAGCAACATTTTATGCCAGCCATTCTCAGAAGCTGTTGTGTTTTGCTCTCTCCTGTGTCTGTTCTTTATTGCCTCAGGGAATCAAAAGTCTGATACTTTTTCCCCAATCCCTGTGCCTGTTGTGTGTAGCCAGCATGACACCCTGCTCCTGTTCCTGATCCTCCACATTCCTCGGGGTGGATCCTTCTTCATTTATCACAACCATTTGTGCTTCTCTCTGCGAACATCAGGAACTGGGACACTTTCTTAAGAAAGAGTTGCTGATGGTTTTTTTTTTTCCCTAAGCATCTGGAAAAGTGGATATGAGCTTCAAACTCTCTGCAAGCACCCCTGTGTTTTGCTTGACACGACAGCCAGACTTGTAGTAAGTGATGGACAAGCCCAGGATGGGATTTACAAAAAAAGCAAGAGCCATCTGACTATACACAACATGGTACTTGGGAATTAGACCCCAGACTTTGTCTGCTTTTAAAGTAAACTTGTGCTGTGGAGTGCTAACCTTCTAATCTGTAATTGTCAGCTCAAACTTGGCTTCAGATATCCTACAAAGCTCCAACTAATAGAATTTTTCCCCATGGAACTGGAAAAGAGCGGAAATTGCGTTTTTTTTGTTAAAATTTGTCTACCTGTCTGTAGTGTCATTTTTTTTTTTTTTGGGTCAACTTCTAGTCAGCCTCTCAGTGTTGTGTAAAACTCTGTGCTAATGTACAGTTGCAAAATTAGGTAAAAGATTAGAAGCTTGTTTTAAACCTTTGTGGGTTAGTACAGGAAATATACTCTGGTTTGAGGTATGTATTTCTCTCTTAATTCAGTTTTAGTGTCTTGGTACATTTAGAAGAAAAAAGATGATGCTTTACCACCAAAATACTGCATTTTCAATCTGAGACTGTGCAAAGAAATTCAGAGTTTCTAATCACACCTGAAATGTTCCAGGTGTTACATTCGTTGTCTCATGTGCCTGAGTAAAAATCTTTAAGCTCAGAGGATTTGGGTTTAAAATGTTTGTCTTGCCTTAGAATCTTACAGCTTAATTATTTTATTTTATCATAGATATCAGTCTTCCCAAATCAGCAGCAATATGTTACACAGCAGCCCTGCTAAAAGCCAGAGCTGTTTCAGAAAGGTAAGCAACCATGTGTGTGAAAACAGCTCTTTGTTGCTGATCTTCTGTAAAATATGAAGCAAAAAGGTCTAAATCTTTTATGTTTTAAAGTTACTTCTAATCTGCAAAGAAATCTTTGCTTCCATTCAAGATTATTTTAGTTTTTTTAATCTGTTCTACACCCCTGCTCATACCTAAATATGTAGCAGTTACATTTTTAAGAGCAGGTTCAGTGTGTTTATATATACACATATATGTGTGTGGAATTAAATGTGATTTAAAGCTCCTTTCAAGCATCCACAAAGTTAATACAGGTGAGGCTGTTTTTCAAGAGCCCACGTGTTGCCCAAGTGCTTTTATGAAGGTTCTGTTTTCAGTGCCTTGCTTGGGATTTTCACCATTTTTTGGGGTGGGTGCAGGATATTTGTGGTAGTTGGTGCTGTTATTTCACTGTGGTTCTGGTCTGTGGAAAGCTGGGTCCAGCAGGTGATGCTGTAACAGTGAGGGGAAAATTTAGGCACTCACCTGACATGAGTGACATCAAATTTCAAACATACCTGTGTCATATGGGCATGGAGGGACAGTCAAGGTACCTGAATTAACATGCACATTTTTCTCCTAGAAGGATTTGTTCATCCTTCTTGATAAATCAGCCGATTTCTTAACGATCTCCAGGCTCACAAATGCAAATAAACACCTGCTTAGGGTTTATTATTTATTACTTTTGTTCAATGTGGGTTTTTTCCCTTCAGGTTCTCCCCAGAAACTGCCTCCAAAAGAGGGCTCAGTACAGCAGAAATTAATGCTGTGGAAGCAATTCACAGAGCTGTGGAATTTAACCCTCATGTTCCAAAGGTAAGAGTATTTTATTTTCTATTGGACCGCTTTGATTGTATTCTGAAAGAATACCATGTTATAATATCATTTTGTTATTGGAACTGGTTATAACTCCAGCCCCAGGTTTTCTTGAAACTGGTTATAACTCCAGCCATGGAGTTGTTAAATGCATTGTTATTTACATCATAAATGTTTGGTGGCCAGAATTAGGGTTTTGGGGGTTTTTTTTGCAATAGATGATGTTAAAACAGGGGGTTTGCACAAAAAATTTAACTTGGAATTCCCTAACTCATTGGAAAATGAGTTACATACCAGTGAGGTATTACTGAAGGCCCTTTATTCTGTAAGGGTATTATTTTCTTCCCCACTGTGACCCACTGGGTGAGTTACTTCATTTGTCTGTGCCCTTGTTCACTTGTTTGCTTTGACTATGAGCATTTCAGAGCTTTAGGCAGTAATTAATTTTGTAGGCATTAATAAATGTAGATATTTAAAGTCACAGAATCACAGAATGGTTTGGCTTGGAAGGGACCTTAGAGATCATCTCATTCCAAGTCCCTGAAGCCAAATTAAGTTCTCCAGACAATAACCACTGTAGTATTCCAAAAAACCTTTATTCTGCTCTGCTTCCAAGCATGGGCTCCACAGTTCCTGAGAGCTCTACAGTCAGTTCAGTGTGTAACCAAGATGCAGAGTCTGTACCACCCCAGCTGGGTTTTATATCTGGCATCACCTGAAGCAGCCAAAGCACGGATTCCAGGGGTGAAAATAAAACCTTGCAGTGCTTTTTTTTTTTACTGTCCCAGGGCTGGTGCTGGGTTCAGTGTGAACCCTTGAATGCAGGAGGTTGGCTCAGTGCTGGGCCTAATCCTCTGCAAATGATGCTGGAGCCCCAGTGGCTGGAGCTGTGAAGGCTGGAATGATGTGACTGCTCCCTTCTGTCTGCCTGTCCAATCCAATAGAATGTGCACAGGGAGAGCTAATTGCTGGGAGAAATTGCTGCTTCTTTGCATGACTGATCAAGAGCAGGGCAAGTTCATTTCAGACAGTCTCAGACAGGTTTTTTTTTTTTTTTTCTTTAGCCCCTGCCTTGAGGGGCAGAAGATTATGAAGCATTATCATTATCGAGAAGTTCTTTTAGTTGGGGTGTCCTCCCGTTGTTTCAGGAGCCTCATGTACCTTTTTAAAGAAGTTAGGGATGATTTCAAACAGGCTCTTAGCAAAATATGGTCTGTAGTTCTGCAGACCAGCGTGGAAGCTGATTCCAGGTTTCAGTAATTTCATCTTCTCTTCTAATTGTGGATATATCCAGCCTTTTTTTTTTTTTTTAATTGCAATATTACCTTGAAAAACCAATTTACTGGATGACAGAGCAGAATTTTATTGATCCAGGCTGCCTAGAGCTCTGAAATGCTCATAGTCAAAGCAAACAAGTGAACAAGGGCACAGACAAATGAAGTAACTCCCCAGTGGGTCACAGTGGGGAAGAAAATCTGATTTTTGAATTTGCACCCTGTCCTGTCCCGTGGACTAAAAATAAATGAGTGTGTAAAGTAGAAATCCCTTTGTTCTTGGAGCTGATGGTTGTCTTTGCACATAACATCATTTTGCATAAGGAAAATAAAATAAGGTTTGTTTCTCTTTGTTCCCAGCTCTGCTTTTACAAGGCTGGGTTTTGTTTGGAAAGTTAGAACCAGCTGGAAAACTGGTCCTCTTAAGCCATTTCCAGTTAGAGATCTGAAACTGCATTTTGGTGCTGGAGGAAACAGCTTTTTCCAATCGTATTTTGAATATCTCAGAGATTTTTATAGTGTATAAAGACTTCAAAACCCCAAGATACTTTCAGCCCTGAGACACCTTGCCTGTTTTATGCTTAAACATGGCCATGAAAACCTGCCAGACTGTGGAATTTCTCTGTTTGTGTGGTAACATGGGCTCAGAGAGAGCCAAAGCCTGGAGCTGAGCATTGGTGTGTTGTGGCAATACTTGCAGTGGGGCTTCCCCACCACTGCTGGGTTTATATTCCCAGTCAGCACAATGGAAAAGTGGGCACTGTGGAGAGCAGGAGGAGTCAGGTCAGGGGTCAGATATTTGAGACCATTTTCCCACAGCAGCCCTGTGTGCCAGTGATCCTTTACTGTGTTAAAAAAAAAAAAATTAAAAAAGGAAAAAAAATTGAAGAGGATTAGAGGGGATTAGCAAGAATATTACCCTCCAGAGTGCAGGCCCAAGGCACTGAGAGAAGAACCTAGCCAGGCAGTAAATGTGCTTTATTTGGCTGGGGCACAACCCCTCCTACATTCCTTGAAGAATCTGAATGGGAAAAGTTAAGTCCTCAAACTGGATTAGTAAATAATCTCATAGTTTGTGGCATCTGCTGAAATAAATCGGTGAGTTTGCTGCATTCTTACACTTTGGGGGACACCCCAAGGAATTGCCACGTTGATCAAAGGTGTGGATTAACTTTGGCTGTTATTGAATGAGACACTGTGTGGTAGGAGAGGACAACCCACAGGTAAATACTAGAGCTGAAACTGTCTTTTCATTCTTGTAAAAATTGCTCATCTGTTTTTAAAACCTGAGTTCAAATGAATACCTGGCTTTTTTTTTTTTAATGTGCCACAATAAAAACGTGGTGCATTGAAAAAAAAGTTGCATGTCCTGTGTTGCAAAGGAAATGGGAAATGATTAATCCTTGTGTTCTTTGACCCTTCTGAGCATCAGATATTCTGCTGATGGAGGGAGAAGGCTGAAATTGAAAAAATCTGAAATCAGAGATGCTTTGTGGTAGCCCAGTAAAACCACATTAAAAGAAGATTTTTTTCACTGGTTTTGGTTTATTATTCTTCCTTTGGTTTAGCACACTGACACTTTGGGTTTGCTGCTCATACTTGAGGGCTAACAAATCTTCAGCCTCCTGCACTGAAACGTTCAGTGATGAAATAATGAGCAAAAATACTGTTGGTTTGGGGTTTTTTATCAGCCTAAATTTGTCCCTCATTGGTATTGCACCTGCAGCATTATACTTATGTCTGTTCCACAAGAAGGTATTTTTATTTTGCCTTACTGAAGCTGTATTTTTTTCTTGATTTTTTTTTTTTTTTTTAATATGTGAAAGTCCCAATTTAAGATTGTTGAAGACAGGAGTGTGTTTTGCTGCTTTTCCCTTCCCACAGACTGGCTGCTCCGGGTCAGGGTTGGGCTGTTTCCTCCACAGGTGGCCCCTGGGATTTGCTCAGTTCGTGCCTCCATCAGTCACTTACATTTCACAATTAAAGGGTTTGGTGTGTTCCACGGAACCAAACGTGCTTTGCATTTGTCCTTTCAGTATTTACTAGAAATGAAGAGCTTAGTGCTGCCTCCAGAGCACATTCTGAAGCGAGGGGACAGTGAGGCAGTAGCCTATGCTTTTTTTCACCTCCAGCACTGGAAGAGGATAGAAGGGGCTCTAAATCTGCTGCACTGCACGTGGGAGGGCAGTAAGTATCTCTCCTTTCATTTTTTGCTGTACAGTAGACTAATCTGTGTGCTTTTATTCCCCTCAAACACAACTGCTTCTCTTTGTGAGAAGCTGGTTAAATACAGATCTGATGTCCCACTCCTTTTGCAGCATTTAGGATGATCCCATACCCACTAGAGAAAGGACATCTTTTCTATCCCTACCCGAGCTGCACCGAAACTGCAGACAGAGAACTGTTGCCAAGTAAGTGGTTTCTAAGCAGTAATGATAATAAAACACAAGCTAAGGACATGTTCAGTTTGTGGTATTCTGTATTTACCTTACTGTGATTTTTTTAGTTGGAGCTTCCTGTGAAGGGGATTCAGCTATTTGTTGATGTCCCTCCCAAAAGATCCTGAAGCACTTGACGTGTGTGTGTGGTAAATGTCAGCTTGATGCTGTAATAGCCTAAATCCTTCAGAGATCAAATCTGTGTGTGGGACATCCAGACTGAGGCTGGCCAGCTTTGAGAACAACAAAATGGACCATTTTTTTCTACATGCTTTGGAAAGAAGTCAGGGATTTGACTCCTGTTGTAGCAAAGAATCAGTGCATGGTTCCAGTCCTGCTTTTGGGTATCCATCAGAACCTGTCTGTGACCTTAAAGAGAATCCTTGGTTAATCTGTAGTCATTATTTCTATAGTCTGTATTTCTGTCATTAAGTCATTGGTCCATATTTGTCTGCTGGATGCCTCCTGGAACTTTTTATCCATGTATATCTGTGGGTTTGCACTAATATTTGATGCTGAAAAGTAGGTCTTGTCCAGCTGCTCATTGCTTCAAGGTTATTTTGTGCAATTATGACCCTACATGGTTGTTTTTTTTCCTTTGAGTGAGGCAAGTAATCTAAATCACTACACCCTGTGCTCCTCATATTTAGGAAAATACCATTAATTTAGAGTAGAATTGGACTCTTAATTGTACATCTTAATAGAATTCCTTTGGGGCTGAACTTCTACACAATTCCCCTGGGACTGGAAAGAGCTACTGCAAAAGCCCCAGCAGACCCACAGAGCCCACAGCTGTGGAAAGGAAAAGTGCACATACGTGTTTCTATTTAAAAGCCTGAAGTTATATTTAAAATGTGTAATTTAAATTTGCCCCCAGACTGCTTTAAATTACTCATTTCTCACTTATGCAGGATATTGCACAAGGAATTCCTTGGTTAGCAACTAACCCTAAATTGTAGACTTCCCAGCATAATTAAACACCAACACATGCAGATATTTCAACACGATCACTCACGCATTCCTGTTATGTTTTAAATATAAAACTACCCATAAATAAAATCATCTTAACACTTTTATTGCGGTACTTCCTCGAGAAGTCTTGACACTTAATTTTTTTAAATTTATCTATTTAAAATAATGTTGTCCAAATCAAGGATTCAGAAATCCTGGATTGGTCTGTGAGTAACAACTCTCAAATGGCTGTGAATGTGTAGAGTTATCTTTGGTTGTCCTTACCCATTTTGGATTTGGTTTAAATTTCCCAGTGTAGGAAAAGCCAGTGCAAAAAAAAAAATTATTCCTTTTTTTTCTTTTTAACACTTTCCTAAGTTATGTTGGGACCTTTCCTAAATTATATTGCTCCATGCTTTAAAAATGAGGTGAGTTTTTAGGTAGTACGAATCTCTGAGTAACATTAACATCTCTGATGGGTGTTAGACATGGATCTCCAAACGTTCTACTTCATTGTGCTCCAAAATCATATCATTAAAAGCAAAAGAAACCCCAAGCACTTTGCCATTTGCAGTAGCACAAAGGCACTTTTGCTGGGCTTGTTTTCTAATGATGCTTTCATGTACCAGCATTCAAAACCAGAAACTGGGAGGGTAAAGTGCCTTCTTCCCCTTCAACCTTCAGTTTAAAAAGAATACAACTGGACTTTCTTCTGGCTTTAAAATCTGAGGGGTTTGTTAGATTTTAAAAACAGCCTGTCAAGAAGTGCAGCCCTTTCATGATTACATATTGTTAGAGAAACTTTGTTTTGTTTTGTTTTTTTTTTCATTTAAAAACCCTCTCAAATCAGTGGATGGAAGTCAGAGCTGCAGGTATTTAAAGCCAGTAATTGCAAATTCACCCAGCAGGTCCTCAGCTGGTGACCAGTAGTAGTGTTGTGAGTGCTGAAAGCTCCACATGCCACCCTTAGCCTGGGCTAATCACCTGCTTTGGATTTGGTTACCACAGATTGGAAACTGCAAGGAGCTGCTATGTGCAGAATTTATAACCCAGTCCTGGGGCTGTTTTCTTTGGGGTCTGCTCTGTCAGCTGCTCTGAGCAAATTTACTGTAGTCTGCAACCAGAAATCTTGGAGAAGTATTAAGCAGCTCCCTTGTATGTCCAACATACCAATGGTTTTGTACTTGCTCAGCTCTCCCAGGGTGGGGAGATGTGCTGTTCCCTTCAGGTGACAGGATTACTGCTCCAGAATTGTTTTCATTGCTCTGGGTAATTTTGACAGCTTGTGAGTTTTTACTTCCCTCTGTCCTGTTAAAAGACTATGCACCAAAAACTGAGCCTGAAGAAATGCTTCGAAAATAAAGGCCCAAGTGAAAAAGAAAACTGGAAAGAGAATATTAATAATATTCTCTAAAAGGCAAAGGTGTAATAATTATTAATAATGAAGACAAAGGTGTAGTAGCTATTAATAATGAAGGCAAAGGTGCAATAACTGTTAATAATGAAGATAAAGGTGTAATAACTGTTAATAATGAAGACAAAGGTGCAATAACTTAATAATGAAGGCAAAGGTGCAATAACTTAAAAATGAAGATAAAGGTGCAATAACTTAATAATGAAGACAAAGGTGCAATAACTTAATAATGAAGACAAAGGTGCAATAACTTAATAATGAAGACAAAGGTGCAATAACTTAATAATGAAGGCAAAGGTGCAATAACTTAAAAATGAAGATTAAGGTGTAATAATTGTTAATAATGAAGACAAAGGTGTAATAACTATTAGCAGTGAAGATAAATAGGGGAAAAATTTTGAGACGGGTAAGAGTTTAAGTACTGGGACCTAAAATGTGCTGCACAAGTCTTGAGTCCACACTTCTTCCTTCTGAAGGTCCAGAACTGGGTTACAAGACTGTAAATAATTCAGAACACAGTCCTTGACTGTCCAGTGTCAACATCCTCCATTTTTTCCTTTCAGCATTTCACGAGGTCTCCGTTTACCCCCAGAAGGAACTTCCCTTTTTCATCCATTTCACAGCAGGCCTGTGCTCCTTTTCAGCCATGCTGGCCCTGCTCACCCACCAGTTCCCTGAGCTGATGGTCATTTTGGCTAAAGCTGTAAGTACTGCCACGTGGGGCTTGCTTAGCTATCCTGGGGGATTTCTGGGAATTTTGATGTCTAGGGTGGAGCAGCCTCTTGTCAGCCTCGTGTTTGTGGGGCATGAATTATTTTATCTGCTTTTTTAAGAACCTTGGTAGTGACACGTGTTGAGATTTGGGCAAAATGTCTGTTTTGACAACAAGATGAACTGTTTACTACAACATCCCCTGGCTTTAATTTGCACTGTTAGGGTGAGAGAGCAGCATTTCAGCACCAGAGAAGTTTTGCCACAGAGCACTGTGTTGAGGATGGATTTTATCCTCAAAGAAGTGGAAGACTGCAGTGGGAGAGGCTCAAAAATAAACGTGTTGACTGGAGATTTTGAGAAGGGAGTGAAAGGCAGGCTGGGCTGCAGGAAAAACAGGTCTCTTGTGAGCATTGGAAAGCCATAGCATGATGTGAGTGGAACAGATGAGAACAGGTAAAGTAACTGCTAACTTCAGAGCAGGGTCACAAGTGAGTTGGGCTGTCACTTACCTTTCAGGATTTTTATATCTCATCTGTTTCCAGTTACTAGATGGAGAATGTGCTCAGTGACCACAGTTCTGTCATTTAAGTACCTGTTCAGGGATAGAAATTGGACTTGATGATGGCAATAATCTGTGATGCTTTAAATGTGTCAGTTGTTGAGCTTGTATCTTAAATATGTCATATCTTAAATATGTATCTTAAATGAGCCATATCTTAAATATGTCTGTTCCTACGGGTGTCTTCTGTGCCCATCTCTTTCTCCCTCTCTCTGCCCTGCTCTTTTTAGGGTTTCTCTTCCTTACTTCTGTTAACATCTGCTGGTTGTAACCTTGTCATCTCTCCCTGGACTCTGGGAGCTGAGGGACAAACTGCACAGGCAGCTTCCCAAAGTAATCCACGCAGTAGGTTTGGCCTTGATTGAACTGCAGATCTCATGCAGTAGAGCAGAGTGGCAAATAAAGAGCTGTGAACTCTCAGTGAATCATTTATTGTAGCTTTGCTAGTCAAAATAGAGGGTGAAAGGCATTTGCTTCCTGGCTGGTTTAATGCAGCAGGTAATGGAGACCCAGGAGGAAAGCCCTTTATTTTAAGAATACTTTGCTCCTAAAAGCCTTGGCTTTGCTAGGGAGCCCAGTCTAGTGTCCAAGTCATGCAGGTCTGAGAGTGGGGCCTCATTTCCACCCACTTCTGTTGATCTTTATGTTGGAAAATGTAGTTGGACATGCCAGTGACAAATTTCAGTGCTGCTCATAATTGGCTGGGTTCATGGTAACTAGGGGCTAACTATCTGCTTGATTAATTCTGGAAGGGCTGCATTAGCAAAGTTGTATGATTTCCAAAGAGATACAAGGTCAAATGTTATGCTAACAAAGAATTGCTTGGTGAAGTTCTCTCTGCTGGGTTTCTTGAACCAAAAAAAAAAAAAAAAAAAGGAAAAAGAAAAAGACTTTGTGTGAGTGAGTTGGCTTTGCAGAATGGCAGTTTGGATGTCAAGTGACATGTCCAAGTGTGTGTGGGGGGGAAAAACTCCCAGAGTCTGGTCATTTGGCAGCGTGTTTCTTTGGTTTATTTTCTATAGGAAGGGATGGATAGTGTCTGTTCAGCTGAAATGATCAAGAGGCACATTGTCACATCCTTCCCCAGTCGAGTCACAGTGGTGGGAGGCACAGACACAGGGGTTCTTGCCACTCTGTGCTAGTTTAATACTGGCAAAAGTGGAAATCTTGTACTGAGATCATCAGGCAAGAGGTGAATTCTGTATTAATTTCTTAAGATTGACAGCTGAGAAGAAAATTGAAGTATTTGGCTATTTTAGCTGATTTTAATGTTAACTCCCAATCATACTCTAATGACTAAAATTCTTCCTTATTCTGATTATTGCATGATTGTACTTTTGATCCCATTCCTGATGTTTTCAAGAGCATTCAGAAAACTTGCAAGAAACAATGATCTTCACCATCAAACTAACACTTCAAACTAACACACTGCCCACAGGGCAGTTCTTTTCATTTTATTTTTTTAATGTCCACAGGGCAATAAAATACAAAATGGAGCTGGGACAAGGTGATCTTTAAGGTCCCTTCCAACCCAAACAATTCTGTGATTCCACGATTCAGTTAATAGATTGCTTCAATATTTTAACCATAGATAATACTGTGATGGCTCCTAACACTTTATACATTATCTCTTGTGTTCTGGAGCTCTGTAGCAGTAGCACCTGGTTGAATTTTCATACAAAAAAGTGGAATATTATCTCCTGTTTAATGACACCAGCCTTCATTGTAATAAAACAGTTCTTATTTGCTGTATCTAGTGTTACATCTTCAAGTAATTCCAGTGCTTTAAGCATTTTAAATGGTAATTTTCCCGTGTATTTCGTTATTTTTCACCTTACTGTGTTTTAACTTATTAAATATAGTAATTTGAGATAATGAATGGTTTATCTGCAGTGCTTTGGCCTTAGGAAAAAGCAATACAAAATGCATTTATTTCCGACAAATTCTGTGCTAGATTTCTTGGAAATTCCAGAATTTTAGGGAAGGCAGTTGGAAATTATTGTGTCTGTGGAATTTTTCACTGTAGATCTCCAAGCTGTGGCTCCTTAGATTCCATTTCAGTTGCTTCTTAATCCAACTGTTTTTCCAGCAGTTGAATCCCCCAAGCCTCGGAAGGGCTTTCAGGAGCCGAATACCTTCCTATTGACTTGAAAAGTCTGCAGTTTACATACTTTCATTTGTTAGTGCTTGAGTTTGTTTCCTCCACAATAAATCACGGGGTAAACCTTGGCAAATTGCTAAAAATATTCCGAGTGGCCAAAAATCACAAGGAAGCGTTGGCCGGTTCCAATGTACACAGAGGGATCCAGCACCAGCAGGGCCCCGAGCGCTGGCACCGGCTCTGGAGCGGGAAGGGATCCTGCCCCCACACTCCCAGCACTGTGGGCTGGCACCACGGGGCTTTTCAGTGTATCTGGCACAGGTGGGATGGTTTGCAGCTGTAGGGGACTGGTGCTGGAGTGTTTGGCATTTACTGATCCAGTTAGAGGAGATGCCCGCAGAGGTTGTGGACTCTTCGTCCCTGGAAGTGTCCAAGGCCAGGTTGGATGGAGTTCTGAGCAAGCTGGTCTAGTGGGAGAGGGTCCTGCCCACGGCAGGGGGTTGGAATTAGATGATGTTTAAGGTCCCTTCCAGCCCATTCTGTGGTTTGATAAGTGCAGATGCACCGTGTGAGCCGGTGCTGGTGAGGACAGTGGGACAGGCGGTGGGGGAGGATCCACAATGAGCTGCAGTACCAGTGCAAGTGCTCCCAGAGGGTGACAGCTCAGCCTTGCTGTTTCTTTCATCTAGATTTTGATCTCTTGGAGAATCACACTGTTCTTGATCATCAGACAGCTCTGTTTCTCAAGCAGTTGCTGCTTAAATTCATCCCAGTAAGTGACAGAAGGGAGGAGGTACACAAAAGGGATGACAGTTATATGTACAGCTCACTGAACAAGCTGAAAAGCACTGCTACATAAAACAACTTCTGTTGTAACTGCAGACAAAAGGGTCTGATTACTTTTTCATTCAGTATGAATTTTTATTTCTTAGTTAATTACATGGGTGGAGAATTGGGTGGCTGAATATCATCTTGCAAAAGTGGGGTTGCACAATTCCTTGTGGAACACAAAGACACTCAGAAGTCTGCTTTCAAGGACACAGTGGTGCAGAGTGACAGCAGGCACTGTAAACAATCTTCCCAGAAATTCCTGAAAGCACCCAACGCACCTTCATGGAATCATGGAATGGTTTGGCTTGAAAGGGACCTTAAAGCTCATCCCGTTCTACTCCCTGCCATGGGCAGGAACACTTTCCACAAGACCAAGTGGCCTTGAACACTTCCAGGGATGGGGCAACCACAGCTTCTCTGGGCAATTCCAAGCAGATCAATCCAATTTCTTAAATCCAAACCTTATGCTACTGGAATAGACCAGTATTAGTTAATATTAAATTATTGAAAAAATAATGCAGCAGTGTTCTTGCTGAATCCTACTGAAAACAACTTCCTTGTTCAGGGAATTGGACAAAATCCTAAGACAGTCCATGTTCCAAAATGGTTTGATATGGATCGTTTGGTATTTTCACAAGAAAGAAAGAAGTCATGGGACTTAAATTAAAAATTGGCTAATTTTTATGATTGCAAGATTAGGAGAAAGCATTTCCCATTCTGAGTGTTCCCTGGCTCCCCATAAGAACCTTCTGTGCCATTTTGCCCAGAGCAGCCATCTAGGGACAGAAAATAGGGCAAAGCAGAGCTGTGCCTGGCAAGTCCTGCTTTCTGTGACACTGCTTTACTTTCTGAACAAATCCCCCTACCACTTTCCCCAAAGCTCATTAAGTGAGACTGGAGAATTAAGTTTTTAGCCAGCTGCTGAACTTTTCATATTTATAAACACTTGAGTCTTTTGCTTATCTAAGAGAAAATGTGTATAGTTTGGAGATGTGCACTTCCCTGCCAATGTGTAATGAGTGGTTCTACACTTGATAGGAAAAAAAAAAGCCTGAAGTTTCCTGTCAGAGCTGAGTGTGGGTGCCAAGGGCAAAGGTTTCTTGCCTTGCTAATCTACATCTTAACTCATGCACTTAATGGGAAGGTGCCACACGCAAACAGGCAGGGAAGAGCTGCCTGCAAGGAAAAGCTCCTGCACTGCTGTGAATGTTATGTTTTAAAAGCCTTTTTAATGTAATATTTGAGGTTATGATAGAAGCCAGGAGGGCCAAAGTGAAACCTTCAAAGTAAATGAGTCCTGTCGTTGCTGCCTCATGAAACGAGGGTTTGTGTGAGGATAACCCGAGTCCCAGGGGAATACTTGGGGGATGGGTTGAGAAGGTGCAGGGGAGCTTGCACCATTTGTTTTAGCCTAATCTTTATTTCTGGAACTGTTTAGATGGCATCTAGAATATGGATCCTGTCTGGAAGCACGGGCTGCTCTTGGTGGATGGGCTGTTCAGTTTGCACATGTTTGAGTCGATGACCCATAAATCAAGACAGGAGATGATCTTTAAGGTCCCTTCCAAACCCAAACCACTCTGTGATTCTATAACTACCCTTCTCCCCTGTCTGTTCAGCCCTGAAGGCACAGTGCTGAGCAGCTGGAAGAGTTGTGGCATGGAGAAATGCCATCCTAACCCTCCTGCCTCTGCCCAGGTGCTGCGGGTGCTGTGGCCGGTGAGTGCTCCCAGTGTCTTGGCCTCCAGCTGAGTGGACCCTGCCAGGGGTGAGTGGACAAGGCTGGAGCTGTGGCTTCCAGGGGTTTTTTTTTCTTCTTTTGTGTGTCTTCATTAATGCTTAACGTTTACACCAAGCCTGTTTCATGTCATCAGCAGTGAAGGGATTGTAGTTCTGTTGCCTTGAGGGGAAGACACGGGGTGGGTTTTGTTCATACTTTGAGCCTGCAGGAGGAAGTTGGTTTGGAAGCTGAGCTGATTTATTGTTGTGTTCTCTTTCTTCCAGTGCTTTGGGACTCTTCTTCCACCCTTCAGCTTCACTGTGGAACACAATGAGGTCCTGCTGCTGCCCAGCCCGTGGCTTCAGCCGACTCCAGTGTGACTGGAGTGTGTTTTCCATGATAGTTTGGTTTGTTCTCGTGAGCCTCACCCTGGTGGTTGGCTGACCCCGGTCCTGGGGGGCAAGGAAGAAATCTGGGCTCTTCAAACTGACATCTTTGACAGGCTTCCATGTTGATGGTGCTTAACATATGAATTTCTTCTTTGGCCTTAGTCTATAGTCATCTAAGAAAATAGTTTTTGTTGAGCAATAGTTTATTGCTCTCTAAATCACTTGGACAACTGGAAGCTCATACTTCCTCTGTAAGAAAGGAGAGTACACAAACTGAGCAGGTGTTTGGAGTATTGATACTTCCTTCTCAGCTGCAGATGCACCAGATACTTGGCTTAGATTTAATTTTATAAGCCTTTTTCAAAATATTTGTTAACAGCAAAGTATGATTTTGCTTTCTTTATTAAAAAGTTGCTTCTTAACACATTGAATTTGTTGACTTCTTAAGCGTCTGTTTAATATAGATTATAGTGTGCAAACACATTTCTTTCTTCTCTATCCTTAAGGGTAGTTTTACTGAATAACTCAAGGAGATGGTTGTATAAACTCCTCTGTTTCATGTTGTTACTCCTTTAGATTTAATTGTGCACCTTCTATTCTTCAAGGCAAAGCATTTTGAAAGGCAGGGTGGCTTCTGAATCTGCCCAAAGTGGTTGTGATATCTGCATGGGAGGCTTTTTTTTTGGGAGACCTGAACTTTCAAGTGTTAGTCCAAAGTACTGTGGTTGTTGATATCAGGACTTGAGGAGAAGGGAGATGCGGAGAACTCCTCCAAGGAGTTGCTTCATGTACAGACCAGCCCCAAGGGTTTGTTTACTGCAGAGGTGAAAAGATGGCTGTGGCAGCCAAGTGGTTTGGGGTAATTGGTGTGACCTCATTTCCACTCTCCCATTAGAGAAAATGTCTCCTTTTTCCCATGCAGATCTGCTGCTCTGCAGTGAGGGAGCAGAGTCACGTTAGCCCAGGCTTCTTAAGAGGGGAAGTGATAAAAATAGCACAGGCTTGTGGAGAAATGCTAATTCTGGGCACGTGGAAACCCATCATCTTATATTTTGCAGATAAACACATACACTTACCCCTAATAACTTACACACTTGATCTCCACTATCTCTGTGAAGGTTTGTGACTTTGATGGCTTCTTTCAAAGGTCATGTAAATTATTCCAGTTTCTGAATGTGAATGGAGGAGTCTTGTTGTAGCCTACTCTGTTCTCTGAAACAATTCCTAAAGCAATCAGTTACTTTACGAGGTCAGTTTGAGTTGACCTAGAATCCATCTTGACAAAGAAGACCATTAAATGAATTAGTTTTTTCTTCTTTTCAAATCCTTCTTTACCTTGCAATCCAAGTGCTATGAAGCTGAGAGTGACCTCTGCATCTCATGTAAGTGTAGTTTGTACCTCTGGCTGAGGGGAAACACACATGTTTAGGTAGAAATGCCATTGTTGCTCTCCATTTATGTGTCTACTGACTGACTTTAATCCAAGTTAAATACTTTAATTCATTGAGAAATCAAAAGGGGAGCCCTACAGAAAGGTAACTACCCATACTTTTGGAGTTACCTAACTACTAGTAGGTGATTTTCTCAACTTTTTTTCCAGTTGAATGTGTGTCAGTGGGGCTGTTTCTCACTTTGGAATCATTGTGGTGATTAATAGACCTGTTGTGTTCATGTGATTTCACTTCTTGGTCCGCAGGGGCCCATAAGGTAACCAACCTAATGCTTTTTAAAGTTGAACCTTTTCCAGCAGTTGTGTGGGGTTATAAATGAAGCTCTGCCTCCCATGTATCATCCCAAGAGCTGCTTTCTCTCACTGTCCTCCCCTGACATAACAGTAACAGAAAGGGGATGGGCTTGTGCTGAAAGGAGAGCTGGCAGCAGGCTATGTAATGAAAATCTTCCTGTCTCTAGAAGTGCCAGCAATTCTTGAGGAAGGAGGAGTGCTCTGTATGATTTCCTAGCAGGATTGTCCCTGCTTTTTAGGAGTGTTCCTTGCCACATGGGAGCAGGGACTTAGACCTGACCCATACCTTAGTAATACCATCTCAATTAAGCTGTGTGTGTGTGTGTATATATATATATATTAAAAAAATTACAATTATGACTCAGGGCAGATAAGCATTGATGTAATTTCCTGGAAACGTGCACTGTGGTGACCTTACAGCCATTGGGATGGAAAAAGCCTTTCCATGAGGCTCTGTGTGGCATTAATAGACTTCTCAGATTTTCAGTTCATTCAGTCAAATCTTGAAGATCAGCATTTATTTCTATACCTGAGGCCAATATGTATATTTGTAAACCAGGGTAATTATAATCTCTTTGATAATTTAGGCAGGGTTCGAGTTTGGGGTGGGTTTGGTTGGGTGGGTGGTTTTTGGTGCTCACAGTGTCTCACCATGTGATGACAGGTTAGTTCTTGATCAGGAAGAGGAATTCTGCCTTTCCTCCTGCCAACCTCTTGTGTCTCCAGAAGTAATTTCCAAAAAGGACAGGGAGGGAAGGGGGGAAGTGTTACCACACACAGTAAAACTATTGTTTGTGAGGTAATTGGGGACTGAATTCCTGTGTGAATTTGCCCTCTTACCACTGATTTTAACAAAAAGTGTGTAAAGATCTTTGTGGATCAGGACTTTATGGCACATGCATCTGGAGAGACAACACAAACGTGATTTAACACATCACTGGAACAACTTTTTGGTGTCTGACTTGAGGTGTTTGGAAGTTGGTATCAGCGTGCTGTTGGGTATTTGATGTAGGAGGATTTCAGTTGGTGGCTCATGGTAGTACAGTGGCTGCTACCAGCTTTCACTGGTGCTATTATGATAAAATTCTTAGAGCACCTTAAAGAGGTGAGGCAGTTGAGACTCAAATATTTCTGGGTAACAGGGTCTGCTCAAGGCAGCTCTAGTCATGTGGGCTTATGAACCACATCAGAATTCTGGGGAATGAACTCCCTGGCAGTTATTTACATGCTGTGAGCCCCTCATTCTTGAAATTTGGGATAGATCCATGTGTTAGTAGCTCATATGCACGTATGTATGTGGCCAAAGGACTTTTCATGCTGTCACACACCCTGGTCACTGAGTTTATGGGGACAGATTCACATGGAGATGGCCCTGGAGTGGTTCTCCATCCTGGTTTGTCGCAGGCCAGTTCCTTCCCTGCATCTCTCCAGCACTGGCCAGGCATGTTTATTCCCTACTCCTCGTCCTGGAATTGTTGTGAGGGTGCCAAGGCTCGTAGATCCATGACTCTGAGCAAGGCAGGGTTTAAAGGTCATAGTCAAGACCATTAATAACAAGGTGCAAACGGCTGGTTTATATGTAATGTGAAGCTTTTTACTTATTTCATTTTTGCACTTTGGGGGCTCTGTTTGCTTATGGAGCACTTGGTGTCTGGTACCTATTTAGGCTGAGAGCAGGCAATTGGGTTCCTTCAGGCCTTCAGAGGAATGCAGAAAATTGTTCTCTGGTGTTGTAATTCTGCTGGGATAACTGGAGCTTATTTGTCTCACTGCTTATTAAATGCATACTTGTCTTGAGGTCCTCTTTTTTTTTTTTTTTTTTTTTTTTTTTTTTTTTTTATCCTGAGAAACATTGGGTGAATCCCAAGGACCACAAGTGAGAGGAAGATTCCAGGGGGAGGGGGAGAGTGAAGTGCCTGCACCTCTCCACAAGCTGCATCATCCACCTCCAGTGCCAGCAGAATGAAGAGGTTAAATATGAGAGCAGACTCCCTTAGGGAAGGGAGACGAAGGAACGGGGCTCAGCCAGACATAAATTAACTTTGCCCTTCCCCCTGCTCGGGGATGAGACTCCGAGGGGAGCTGCACCTCCCAAACACTAATGGATGGGGTGTGTGGTTGGGAGCCACGTGAAGCTGTGCTGAGGTGTTGGAAGGGAGGTTGGGAGCACATGTGAGCTGGTGCTGAGGGCTGAGCCCTTCACAGAGGGCACTGTGGGCAGCAAGGGCAGAGGGGCTTCGTGGAATCACAGAATATCCTGAGCTGGAAGGGATCCACAAGGATCATCCAGTCCAACCCCTGGCCCTGCACAGGACAACCCCAGAATCCCACCCTGTGCCTGAGAGCATTGTCCAAACACTCCTGGAGCTCTGGCAGGTTTGGGGCTGTGCCCACTGCCCTGGGGAGCCTGTTCAGTGCCCAACCACCCTCTGGGGGAAGAACCTCCCCTCCGGGCTCTACCAGCCTCTGAGCAGTGTCCAGCTTGCCCTGTGTTGCTGCCAACGGGGACAGACAGACTCCTCCCGTCCCTCTCCTGCAGTTAATTAGGGTGGCTGCAGAGGTGACATGTGGGCTATTGCCATCTCTGTACATCAGCCAGGTGACAGTAGCACTCACAGGGGGCTTCTGTGTACGGTGTTCTGTGCTCTGAATTCACCCAAGTTACAACAAAGGTGGAGACAGAGTAAAGGCAGCTTCAGTTTCCAGCTCTGCCTCCCGGCTCCCTCCTCCCTTCTGGAGCCTCCTCGGCGGGGTGTGCTCTGCCTGCCCCAGCCCTTCCACTGGAGGGACAGCCGGTGATCAGGGATGCTGCTCATGTGCTTGGAATTTTCCTGGTTTCCAGCCTGGGTTGCTGTGCTGTGCTCTTTGGTGGGATCCTCGGTGAGTGTGCTCACTGGGGAGAGCGAGGTAACACACCCACACTTACGGCATCACCGAGGGTGCACCCGCCACGATGAGTGTGCTCCTCCTTCGGGATCTTCCTCCTTTGGTTATTCCTGGCCAGTGACATTTTCCTTTCACTCTGGATGCGCTGAACTGTGCAATCACAGCATGGCCCCGTCGGCTCAGACCCTTCTCTTAACAACCTCTTGATTCCTTTTCTAATTTGGCTGTGGGCTTTCATCAGTTATAAAGCAGAGTGACACAGTATGTGACTGTTGCATTCTCCTGCCTTGACTCACTGGCTGCGATTCCAGAGCAGTGACCCCCTGCTGCTTGCTGGAGCAGCCCTCCGTGACTCTGCATCGGGAATATGGGATGTGAAAGCTCCCACACAGATCTTTGACAGGCTGTGCAAATTCTAGTCAAAATGCCCCAGTAAATCTGTCCCTGCCAGCTGAGTCTGTAACAGCAGGTGACCCCCATGATCACACTGATCACGGGCACCTTTTGCACCTCTGTGAACCCCCTGGAGAACAGAAAAGGCCCACAGGAAGACAGAAGGTGTTGGGATTGAGGTGTAGCTGGGCACTGGTGTCACTCTGCTTTGCTGGGCTCAAAAACTTAAGGGTCTTGCCACTACCATCCATGCAGAAAAATGGTGGTGTCATCTTGGTTAAGGCCTGTTGTCACTCCTGTGATCTACTGAAAATCAGAATCGTAGAATCTCCTGACTTGGACGCAGAAGCAACATCAAAGTCCAGCTCCTGGCCCTGCACATGATCCTGTGTTTCCAGTGCCTTCTACCTGTGTGTCCTGTCCAGCTTCTTCAGAGAAGGTAATTTATTCAGAAGCTCATTAAGCAATTAATTATGCTCCTTGTCCTTAAGTTCAGACATGCTTTTGACTGGAGGATAATTAGAAGATGATCTTGCATAAAAGGCTCCCTGCACATTTCAGGCAGATTACTTAAGAGGGGCTTGTGAGAGGGACTGAGTGTTCCCTGACGAGACTGCAGCCTTCAGAAACGTTTAGAGATGGAAAACAGCTGCCTGCCCAGGATGAGTGTGCTGGGGGGAGCTTCGGTGGGGCTCATCTGTGGGAAGACAGACCAGTCTGGATTTCCTTCAGCCCACAGCGGGATGTCATCTTGCACAAGCACTGGGAGTCTGCTCGGGCTGACCAGTGGATTTCAATTCCCAGCCATTCTGCTGGGGTTTTTTTTGCTAATTGCTTGTTAATAAATAAGGGAGTGTAGCCTTGCACAGCCCTTCTTCTGTCAGGTGGACTCGAGCTCATCAGGCTGTGCCCATGGCTGCTTCTCCGGGTGCTTCTGGAGCACTGGTACCTGCTTCCAAGTGTTTTTACTCCTGATTCACTGCTGTGACAGGGGAAGGCAGCCAGGCAGGGGGTCCCACCACGCTGGTGGACACAGGACTATGGAGGGTTTCTGTCTCAGCTGTGGTTATTCCACAGAGCACTGGAGGCATCCAGTTCAGCATCTCTGGGATGACATGGGAAAGGGGGAAGCCAATAAACCCAAGGCAACCTGTCCTCAGGAGTTTCCCTCTTTGGTTTAAAATATGAACATCTGCACTCAGAGGGAGGATGTATTTTGGCAGCAGCCATTGATTAAGGTGTCATTCATCAGGTGGGCCCACAGATCTGCTGCAGACACTTCCCGGGGGTCCTCTGGAGAGGAAGAAGTGTTTGTTGACAGCTGACCCCAGGTCCCCGGGCACTGGATCCCTCCCAGTGTCCTGCTCTGGGAGGGAGGCTTGGATTGATGGCTGAGGGGGCAGCATTTTTTTCAAGTCTGTTGTAAATTGCTGGTAGGTGGAGCAGTAATGAAGATAAATGAGGGGCTCTTCCAGGTCGATCAGCCTGATGGCTGTGGCAGGCTTGGGATGCCTTTGGCCTGGCTCAGACCTCCCTCTCACCTGCCAGCATTCCTCGGCACAGCCGAGGTGGGAAAATGGTCTCTGAATTTCCAGAGGGCTTGGAAGGGCCTGGGGGGAGACCAGGAGGCTCCCAGGTAAACACCAGCTCGAGTGCAAGAGCAGAGAAGGTGCTGCCCAGCCCTCTCGTGCTGTCAGCACAGGATTCAGAAGGGAGATGGTTTAATTCTGTAAGAAACAGTTAGGTAGTGGGGAGGTGGGATTCCTGTAACTCTTTTTTAAAAGAGTTCTGTTAAAATGTCACCTTTTTGCTTGCCTGTGGCTCTGCAGCAGCTCTGCTGAAGGTCCCTTTTCTGCACGAGCACTCTCGGTGGTCTGGCACAGAGGAAGGTGCTCTAATCTGGCCCATGGCAGGCTCTTTAAATTCTTTGAGCAGTTCCCATCAAAGCAGTTTTCAAAGTGGTTTTCTCTCCCCACTTAAACTAATATTTCCTAGGGCCATTGAGTAAAATCCCCGTTCAGAGATGCTCTCGGTGCAGCAGCCAATGGGTGGCTTAGGACCAGCATAATCTTCTTTGCCTTAATCCCATCCTGCTCCTTTGACCTTCCTCCAGACTTGGCTGTTGAGGCCTGCTCAGCTCCCTCTGCCCACACATCTCGCTGCTGCCAGGAGAAAACCCTCCCTGGAGAGCTCCCACAGCCTCTCTGGCAGCAATAAAGCAGATCCCAGCAAAAAAAGTATTTACAGGTGAATGTCCCCTTTGACTTGGCCTTTCCAATTGGCTTGGAACATCCATGAAAATTTCCTTTGAGTGTGCAAAATATCCTTACCTGCCCACCAACACAATGCTGAGCAATATTAGGAAAACTCACCCCTTTTTTTCTGGCTCAGGGAGGAGGCACAGCCTGCCTGGGGCAATGGGCAGCCCAGCTCTAGGCAGGGGGGAAGTGCCAGAAGCATCCTCAGCCTCAGGAATTGCAATGCTGAAGGTAATTTTTCTCTTTTACCTGGGGATATTAAATTTGCAGGTGCAACTGTTGTACATTACATCTGTTTGTGTGGACTGGGACCTTTTGATCGGACCATAAAATACCTGTACACTAAACAAGACATCTTTGTAATGCTCAAATTGGGGGAAAAGAATTGAGGGAATTTCTAGAGATCAGAGGGGTGAGTCCCTGTAATGTATTTACTGGCAGCTCTGCAGCTGCCTGCCCCCCTTCTCATCAGCTTCAGTTTTACTTGATTATGTTTGGAGTGGTTGGTTTGGGGTATTTTTAATGGGAAAGGTTTGGAAGTTTATCTGGCATCTCCTGTTTGACCCAGTACTAGAGAGCATTGGAATGGTTTGGGTTGGAAGGGTCTTTAAAGCTCATCCCATTCCACCCCCTGCCATGGGCAGGGACACCTTCCACTAGCCCAGGTTGCTCCAAGCCCCGTCCAACCTGGCCAGGGATGGGCAGCCACATGTCCTAGGGTGTGCTGCTGCTGAGGAAGGATTCCCCTGGGGCTTTGGATGCGGGATGCCATCCTCTGCTTTGTGGGAAGCTACAGATAACTCCTGGGAGGGGGGGGGGGTCTGTGCTTTGGGATGGTGGGAGCTGCAAGCAGCAGGGGGAAGAAACACTGCTCTGGGGAAGTGCCCAACTGGGTGTGTAGGAATTCAAAAAGCAAAGAACATCTTTTTCTGATATAGGTTTATAATGAATTTTTGACTTAAAATAATAAGCAGTATACACAACATACACGTGAGTTTTACAGAGATGCTGTTGTATCGTTGACTTCAGAACCTACCAGTAAGTTCACAGGTTTCATTTGCTCTCTCAAGCCCTCTGTGCCCGCCAGCATTTAGGGGTGGCCCTTGTCCCTGTGCAGTCCTCCAAGGTTCAGTTCCAATTTTACAGCTCCACTTGTCCCCTGTGCTGGGGACAAGGGGACAAGCCTCGTGCAGAGGTGGCTCTTGCTCAGTGGGGTCAGTGGCGTGCCGGGTCTGCTCGAGGGAAACGCGGGGATCACAGAACTGTCTCATGGATTCTCAACACCCTTCCTCTGGCCTTGCAAAAAAAAAAAAAGGAAAAGCAAGAATGCTTTTGCAAGAGTGGATTATTCTGAACTAGTGTGTTTTTTTTTTGCTGGTGAAGCTTTACTGCAACGTAGATTCTCTGGGGAGGCGCAGGATTCCTCAGCCATCGCATCCCGACGGTCGGCCCTCCGAGCCCCTATCGGTCGCACCATCCCTCTGCAAAGAGAACCTCTGCGGGTTCACAGTCTAAGCAAGGATTGCAGCCTCCTCCCTGGTCGGGGATTAGTTTTGCTGAGCAAACAGAAGGGCCCACAGTACCTCCTGGGAAACGCAGTCCTTCCCTTAGTGCTTCGCGGAATTCATTAAATAAAAGCCATGCAGTCGAACTACAGCTCCCAGGACGTCCCGGCCCTCGGGGCACAGGGGTTTAAACAAAAAATCGCGAGGGTGGGTGGCAGCGGACTCTTCTTCCCCCGGGGGTGCTCCCGCCCGTCTCCTCAGGTCTGGTCCAGCCACTCGGCCCTTTTGGGGGCCTTACAGGTGTGCACGTCCACAGTGTCCTCGCACTCCTTGCAGCGCACAGCGCAGCACCAGTGGAACTTGCACTCGCACTTGGTGACGCGGGTGACGCGCGTGGTGTCGTAGCCGCGCCCGCAGCACATCACCTCGCAGCCGTCCGTGCCGCGGGACAGCTTGTTGCACACGCGGCCCGCCGTGCCCAGGGAGCCTGGGGAAGGAAGGAAGGGAGGGACACGGGGTCAGGGGGTTCCTTCTCCATCGTGTTCCAGCACTTCTCCCCCCCCGCCCCCCCGCCGCCCCGGCCACAGGTGTTGGTGAGACTGGGCACCTCCATCTGCAAGAGGGACCTTGGGTCTGAGTGCCTGAGTAGTGAAACCCCGTGGTCTCTGTCACAGCGGGGTCTCCAGAGGCAGCACTTTGGAGCCTGCACTCACTGTGCTCTAAGGACATGGGATGCAGCAATGCCAGCCAGGGATGCAGCGTCGGTGTCCCTGCCCGTAGCAGGAGGTTGGAAAGAGATGATCTTTAAGGTCCCTTCCAACCTCAACCATTCTGTGATTCTATGATCCTCTGCATAGCCCTCTCCCCGTGCCCACTGCTGGAGCCTGTGCCCGCTGCTGCCAGAGTGTAAGGGCAGTGGGGGACAGGGAGGGGGTCTGCACAGCCCCTCTGTGCCCGGGGGACCCCTAGAGCAATGCATGCCTGCTGAGCCAGGCTTTGCAGCTGGCAAAGCTGGGAATGCCCTCTTTGCTCAGGCTGAGGGTGGTGGGAGCACGTGCTGCCTTCCCCACTGAGCCCCCTCGGCTGCTGCCAACCCCTGACCCGGGGATGCTCCAGGCTGGGAAACCATTGATCATCTCTGCAGGAGCCCAGCAGCCCCGACGCCCCTTCCCCGCTCTCATCCCAGCCCCGGGCTGTGTTCTGAGGAGCAGCCGGCAGCCTGTGCACGGAACAGGCTCTTTATTGCCTCTTCAAGGGAGCTCTGCTCCGCGGGGGGCAGGCTCCGAGGAAACGCTGAGCTACCGTCATTACAAGAGGCCTGAGGGACTTGGGGCTTTGGTGTAAAGCCTGGAGATTTTGGATAAAACACAGTTCTGCCTGTGCAAGTGTGAGGTGCTGCAGATGCCCCGTTCTCTGAGGGCTGGGGTTCACTGGGGGACTGAGATGCCAAAGCTGGGCTGGCTGGGAGCTGCTGGCCTGTCTGCAAGGGAGGAAGAGCTGCTTTTGGGCAATGACTGGAGCTCTGGGTTTTACCTGCTGACTTGTCCATCACGCAGTAATCAGGTGAGTTCTCAAAATACACCAGATCTGTTTTCGTGGGCTTCCTGAAGTTCTTGTTGGCCACTGTGAAGCCGGTGCCGTCCTGGTTCATCGTCACCTGGATGGCCCCGTTGTATTTCTTCCTTAGGTAATCCCCTGTTTTTCGAAAATCTGACATTGCCAGCCAACAAGTCCTTAGTGTGCAGGAGCCGCTGACCCCGTGGCATTTGCACTCCAGCTTCAGGAAACGCTTCACAGCCTGTGGGAAGAGGGATGTGTGAGGACTGGTGGTCACCCTGGGTGCCAGACATTGCACCGGTGCCTGCTCATCCCTGGTGCAGTTTATCAGCTCTTGGCTGTGCGGGATGGGCTCCTAACGGGAGAGGGGGGCTGTGTATGGAGGTCACTGGTGCAGCAGCAGCAGGGACACAATGCTGGGGGAAAAGGTAAGCAGGGCCCTGCCACCTCCATGGGGCCATTCCCAGGGCAGAGCGTGCAGGGGAGCACTGGGAAGGCAGGGCAGCATCCAGCCCTCATCCACAGTAGGACCTGCCCTCCACGTATACCACAGTCCTGCTTCTATGCCCAAGCTGTTCCCTACGGAAGGTCCAGGTGGGATGGCTGGCCTGGCACTGGGGGTCCACTCACCATCCTCCCACAGCGGTTGTTGTGCAGGTTCATCAGCGCCCGGGCATCCTTCACCTTCTTCTCCTTGGCATCCACGAAGGCTTTGGCGAAGCGGATCCCGTAGTTGATGTTGTCGCTGCAGCCGCCCCAGTCGAACTCCCCGCGCTCGTCCTTGGAGCGGCCCCTCTTGAGCGGGTCACAGCTGCACACCTTGAGGTCCCCCTGGCTGCAGGCCCGGGTGATGGCATAGACCACCCCGGCCGAGGAGATGGCGTAGACAAAGGCGGCCTCCCTGCTGCCTGGAGCGGGGAGAGGAGCAGGGACGGGGAGTGAGCGTGCCAGGCTGTGCCAGGCGGCTGCGGCCCATCCTGTGCACGGGTAAGCCAACCCCACTGCTGGCTTCCCCGGTGCCCTTCTGACCAAGGGGAATTATCAGGAGCCATGCCCACATGTGCTGAGCCTGCAGGACCAGCCAGCACCCTTCAGGCAAGGCCACCTCCCTCCCTCCCGGGGCGATGGAGAGCATGGAGCCGGCGCCAGCCCCGGCTCTCCCCGCGTGGCACAGCTTGCGCCTGCTATTTTATGTCTCTGCTTCAAGTTCGCAGCTGTTTTTATAACGCTGTAAAAGAAGCTGCAAATCAAAACCATGCTCGTCTTCATTTCGAGGAGCCTTTGAAAGCAACTTCAAAGGCAGCAGAGCTCTCTTTGGGCCTCGCAGGATGGGGCTGTGGCGAGGAGCTTTCATCATTCCCCATCCTTTGCCAGGAGAGGATGCGAGCAGGAGGAAAGGTGCCCTGGTGGGGATGGAGAGGCTGAGAGCAGGCAGGCTGCAGCATGGCAGGGTGAGTGCTACACCCTGGCATTCCAGTCCCCTTCTTCCCAGCCAGGTCCTTGACAGGAGTCTGGCTTGTGGCTCTGCTGCTTGCCCGCCCCATGGGCAGCTGCCCCATCCCCCCGCCAGCTGGGAGCAAGCCCTCCACTCCCTCCACAACACTCACATGTCCTCCATATGAGCTGGGAGTGGGAAGGCTCTTCCAGCCGCCTTTGATTTGGAGGCTGCATGGCTGGATGCTCCGGCACGGCACGGGATGCAGCAGCATCTGTCCCGCAGTGCCGCTGCCTGTGCCGGTGCTCCTGCGGCCCGTTCCCTCCCAGGGGCAGCTGGAGCCCCTGATGCTGCTCCTGCTCTGGAACTGCCCCGTCCCTGTCCCCATCACACCTTTCCTTGGGTACATCCCTGCTTGTGTTGTATCTGTCCCTCACGTGGAGCAGGACGGTCCCTCCTGGGCAGGGGCTGTGCCCAGCCCTTTGCTCAAGGCTGGCACCTGCCCCGTATCCATGGTCCTCCTCCACCTTGGCGCCTGAAGTGAGGACTGGAGCCGTGGCTCTGCCTTGCCTCCCTTGCCATGTGAGGGAACAGCCAGTTCCCACGTGAATTGCTGAGTCCTGGCCAACCCTGCTCTCCAAATATTTATATATCCCATTACTGTTTACATATGAGCCTGTTCTCCGGAGGTGTCTCCTCCTTCCCCCTTCTCCCCCAGTGCTCCCCCTGCTCCATCTCATCTGGTGCAGCTATTCCAAACGCAGCGCTCTTCTCCCATTACTGCTTGATTAATTTACAGGGAAAAGCAAAGCTCTCCTAAGGGAGTAATCCAAGCCACCGGGCACGGCAGCCCAGCAAGAGGAGAGACTCCCAGGAAGGCGAGGGTGGGAAGGGGATGAGGCAGAACCTACTTCGCAGCATGACCCGGCCGAAGACGGTGTGGTCCCGGTCCAGGGTGCTGCAGTTCCAGCGGTGGTGCCGGAATTGGTGCTGGCACTCCCGGATCCACTCCTTGGCTCCCTCCCCGACCGACTGCATGATGTCGGGGTACCTCTGGCACAGCTGCCGCTGCTTGTTCACCAGCCCGGGGATGTTGTCGCAGATCACCCTCGCGCCCAGCGCCCCGATGTACCTGCGGGAGAGAGCGGTGCCACGTCACTGCCCTGCCTGCAGGCAATCTTACTGTCCTGAGCTGGAAGGGACCCACAAGGATCATCCAGTCCAACTCCTAGCCCTGCACAGGACAACCCCAAAATCCCACCCTGTCCCTCAGGGTGTTGTCCAAACACTCCTGGAGCTCTGGCAGCCTTGGGGCTGTGCCCACTGCCCTGGGGAGCTTGTTCAGCGCCCAACCACCCTCTGGGAGAAGAACCTTCTCCTGATATCCAGCCCAAACTGCCCTGACACAGCTCCAGCCATTCCCTCAGGTGCTGTCACTGCTCACACAGAGCAGAGATCAGAGCTGACCCTCATGAAGAAGCTGCAGACCCTGATGAGGTCTGACCTCCGTCTCCTCCAGGCTGAACAAACAGAGTGATGCCAGGTCCTCACCCTGCTCAGGGGTCTTATATTGAAGCCCACCTTCCCCTCTTTCCTTTCTACCTGTGTCACAGCTGCTCTGGGCTCTGCCCAGGGTGTCCCCCCACAGCAGTGTGCCCCTCTTGCAGCATCCTCTTGGTGTGGGCAAGCTGTGAAGCACATGTGAGACCTGCCCAGGGCTGTGGTTCAGACAGGCAGGACACAGGGACAGGGCATTGCTGAGCCATCACAGCCACTGGCCTTCGGTCCTTGTGTTCAGTATAATGGGGTGGACAAAGCTGTGCTCTGTGCAGGCAAGGAGCAGGGGGTCTATGGAGAACATCTGCCCAAGGAGACAGCCAGCTCTGGGTGCTGCAAGTCCTGGGATGAGCCCCATGAGCCTGGGCTCTGTCAGCTCCTGGGGTGGCAGCAGAGGAACTTGCTGATGTGCAAAACCTCCCTCCCACCCTCTTCCCTACATCCCAGCCCTGCCTGGCCCTGCTGAGCACAGCAGGATGGCTGGTGCAGGCTCTGCCCTGTCTCCTGCTTGCACTCCGTGGGAACAGTGTCCATGGCACAGGCACCTGTGCCATGCTTAGGTAGAGAAGGAGGAGGAAGAGGACCAGGCTTCACCTGTTGTTGCTACAGTCCTCACTCACACTGTTATCCCCCAGCTGTCGATTCCTCGCTGTGCACCTCCTGCACTGGTGAACACTTGTGATCACGCCCTGAAGCTGCACAACTGGGAGAACCGTGTCCCCCATCCTGGCTGTGTCCCACCTGCATCCCTGTCTCCCCCCCCTGCAGCAGCAGGAGAGAGCGGGAGCTCGGAGCAGGAAGACAACGCACAAACAACAGTCTGGCAGAGCCCGGCTGAGCCCCGTGGGCAGTTTTCCGTGGCCACGGGGGAGGGACCCCGAGCTCTGCCCCGCACTCTCGCACCATCCTGGGCAATGGCAGCAACGTGGAATTTTCCATCCCGGTCAGCTCCCGCCTGCGCCACCCTCTTGCCCCTCTGGCTGCTTGTGCTGGAGGATGATGTTTGCTGCAGAGCACGGAGCTGGGATTCTGGCTGGAAGGGATGAGGTTTGGGTGGGATTCAGATTTTTTCTAGCCCCCGGACTGGAAGTAAAAACCTTCCTTTAATAATAATACTAAAAAGCAATAAGCTCGGACAATATTTCATTGTCTCTCTCTGGCCACGTTCTATCGCTTCTGTCCGCCCCAGAGAGAGCTCCCAAGCTCAGGAAAGCCCTGCGAGCACAGAAAGCAATGGGATCTGTTCCCCTTTTTAAAATATTTTGTTTAAATGCTGGCAGAAGCACAAGGTCATCTCGGGCTGGAGCTGAGGATAATAAACCCGGCTCCCCACGGCTTTGTGAGCCCAGACTCAGAGGGGCAGCGAGCACTATTGTCCCAGGCATGCTCATCAGCCTTTCATCCTGCAGCAGAGGGACAGGGACATGGCAGAAGACTTTTAGGAAAGAAAATCCAGCAGGAGCTCATCAGGCAATGCGAACTGAGGGTATTTTGTTGCCTTGCTCGTGCCAGGCTGTGAGAGCAGCTGGTGAGTGGGACAGGGAGGACGAGCATCCCACCAGCTGGATAACGGCACGGTGGTCTTGAGCAGGGCAGCAGAGGTCCTGTGGGGAAGTGTGGCCAGGCACCTGGCCCAAAATTCCTTCTGCCCAGCAAGGATGGGGATGGCTGGCATGTCCCTGCCTGTGCTGCCAAGGGCAGGGATGAGGTGCTGGGAGTCAGCGGGTTGCAGGATGGAAGTTCAGCAGAGCCAAAGCTCCCCTTTGCTGGGGAAGCTGTAGAAGGTAAAATGTTCTGTGATGGGCCACCTCACCAGAGACCTTGCAGGGACCCTGTGCTCCTGAGCTGGGGCACTGGTCTCTGGGCTGGTAGAGGAGCTGCCTCCCGGATGGGAGAGTGACGGATAAAGCACCGACTAACACCATCCCCTGGGAGACCGAGATCAAGGGAAACCCTCCAGACAAGATAAACACCAGGCACTCCCTTTTTCACACTGGGAGCTAATTACTTCTCCTTAATTCTCCTGCCAAACACCCAGATCAGAGCAAACATTATCAGCAGGAGAAAGTGGAAGGAGAGCAGGGCGAAGGTCACCGACCGCCGTGTGGGTCCCAGACCCATCAGGGTTGGTGGCTGAATCTCTCTTTGCCTGTGGCTGAGAACAAGCAGTGTATTAGAGCAGTACCTACAGGATTCCATCAGAAAGGGGAAAATTCCTCCCATGTCCCGGGAAGGCTGTGGTTATCTCGGCAAGGCTTGCTGAGAAAAGCTCCAGTTGGGCTCAGTTACTCTAAAATGCAGAGAGACAGGGAACATCAGAAAATTCTGCCAAGCAGAGTTTTGGGAGGGGAAAAAACCCAAACATTTGTTTTGGATGGATGAAAGCATCCCTTCCGATTTTATTTCTCAAAGCCTGTGACATTTTAAAAACACTGCAACAGGAAAGACAATGGATATTCTGAGAAGTCCCCAGCTGCCTTATCAGAACCTCGTTTTTAAAAGAATGAAGCTGTGCTGGAAGTGGCACATTTCTATGCAATGCTGTACTCTGGGGGAATCTCTATTTTTCCAGCCGAAAAAAAAAAACAACACCAAAACCCAAGGCATGAGTTCAGAAAAGATTGTGAGAAGGAGCTGCTCCTGCTGCTGGTGGCAGCTCAGGCCTGGAGCTCATGGCTGGGAGGAGAGAGGCAGACCCGGGCAGGCTGCAGTGAGGAGGAGCTGGGAGGGAGGGAAGGAGTGGATAATTAAGTACATGTGGGGATAATGATCCTCCACCCTGTTCAGCGGGGTTCCTCGGGCTGCTGCCTCTTGGGAGCTCCTCGTGCAGGTCCATAAAGCCTTGGCATTGCCCTTGCCAAGTGCAGAGTTGCTTGCCCAGCTCGGGTGAGGGGCTGGCACAACCCCTCTGACCGCCTTTGCCTGGCTGATGCTGCAGCATTCCCTCTCGCCGATCGGTGTGCAATCCCAGGCTGGGTGTATTTCCCACTTTCGCCCAGGATTCCGCTGCCAGGAGCCGGGTGTGAGCCGCCCGTGCCGCGGGACACGCTGTGCTGCACACACAGCGCTGGGATCTCCCGCCCTGCCTTCCTCCCTTCCCGCAAGGCAGCAACAACGGAGGATGGAGATTTTGTGTTCCCAAGGCAGGTGCCTTCGGAGCCTGCGGGGTCAAGCCCTCCTCTCTCTCTCCCTGCCAGCCTTCCTCCTCCCCGCAAGTTGCACGGATGCACATCCAGCTGCAGCGAGCTCTTCCCAACATCCCGCGGAGCGCCCGATGCTCGAGGGAACAGGAGACGAGCGTCACGTGCTGGCTCCCCGTTGTTGTTCTTGCGGAGAGTCTGCTGACTTCGGCTCTTGTAAACAAGGAGAAACCTAAATTGCTTCTAAGATAAACATGCAAATCAGAGGCAGACGCATCTATTTACTTGGCAGCGTGCGGGCTGTGCTAAACCCCCTTCCGCGGCTCGCCTCCGTGCTGGATGTGTGCTGCTCCCGTGCTTCCCACAAGAGCCTGCCCGGCTTCCCGAAGGACTCGCAGGCTCCGCGGGGTGCTCTGCCCCAGTGTCGTGTCTCTGCCCTCTGCTCTGCTGCCAGGCTGAGCTCAGACAGAGCTCGGAACAGTTCCAGAGCTTTCCTTGTACAGCTCCCTGAGGGTTAGGAGGAGATTCCTGCAGTTCCATGTGGGCTGTCAGTTCCTGGGATCTGCTGCATCTTGTCCCAGCAATCATCTCCCAGTACACCTCGTTCCTTCTCCACCTTCACTAGGCTGGAGCCTTTTTGGATCCCTAAACTGTGCTTTTGGCCATGACATGGAGTATGCAGCTTCCTCGTTGCTTTGCTCGTTAATGGGAAAAACCAAAAAGGCTCAGGAAAAGCTCTGTAAGTGCAGCAGTGGGAGATGGAGAGCACGGCCAGAGCCTAAGGCACCTCAGCAACAGGCAGATGGGAGTTTCTGCTGCTGGAGAAAGGCCACCCCTGTGGCAGCCCAGGCCAGCCAGCCCCAAATGTCTCGGCCAAGTGAGCAAATCCACTGGGTAGGTGCTGAGGGAACTATAACTCCACATATCAGAGCAGGAGGACGCTGCCAAAGGGAATTTAGTTTCCCTTTTCTTAGATATAAACAAAGCCCTGCAATATAGACCTGGGATACCTCCAGGACAGGCTGAGCTGGGGCAATGCCCCTGTTCTGCACTCACTGGGAGATATCAGGTAGGAAATGTCTCTTAGAAAATGAGGTTTTGAAGAATTGGTAAAATTACATGGAATCAGAGCTTGCTCTTGTTGCTCTCCATAATGCCAAGGTGTTCCTGAGAAATAAGTGAGTGCCCTAATGTAGTTCCTAATGAAATTTATTGTAGATGCTGCTGTGCCTAACATTTCATTTTTCACCATTTCATATGGCATTCCAGTGCCTATTTGAGCACGACTTGATTTCAAAAGGGAAATGTTTGGAATCGCCATTCTCAGGCACATCTCAACATCTCTGAGCTCTGAATTAAAACAGCTGCTGAAACATCGGAAGTTCCCACTTTGGGGAAATCGGGGTTGCACCAACACCATTAAAGATACAGTTTT